CTGAATTTACTTAACGCGAAATAAATACTAAAATAGGAATTTTATATGCTGGGTTAGTAAAAGAAAAAGCAAAATTATAATTGTATGTATTAAATTATACGCATTGTTTATATAAATTAGCTAAGATTTTCACATTTATTACGATAGTAGCGACGTTTGTTTTAGCCATGTAACAAAATAAACTATAAGCATTCTGATCAGCTATTTAACAAAAATATCAAATTTGTGAATTTTAATTCACCAACTTTTGAAATTTATTCTCAGCTATGGAGCTCACGAATATATTTTTTTCAAAGAAAATATTGAAATTCGATTATTTATAAAATTGATATTTTTGTTAAATAAAGCCTGGTTCACATATATGCCTGCGACGTACCGGCGACGATGGTGGTAGCTTAAAAACGTAAATTATGTTAATATTTGTTCGCCGATTGCCTCCAGTGCCACAGTTACATCGGCGGTAGGCCGGGAAAGTTGACTTGAGTTCAACTTTGCCGGTATTTCGGCGGCAAGTAGAGGCATAATGATACAGTCGCAGGCATATGTGAACCAGGCTTAACTGATCAGAACGCTTATAGTTTATTTTGTTACATGGCTAAAACAAACGTCGCTACTATGAATCGTAATACTGTAAATGTGAAATGTTAGCTAATTTATATAAACAATGCGTATAATTTTTTATAGTAGGCTATTCATCGAAATTACATATTCCTATTTTAGTATTTATTTCGCGTTAAGTAAATTCAATTCAAACTTCATAAATAACATTCGGATATGTCGGTCATAAATTGGAATGTACAATTTTATGTCGTATTTTGTTATCAGCCGTCGCTACAGAAAAATAGAACATATTGATAAAAATTCTAGGCATATAGGGGGAAGGGAAACACGTATTATACTTATAGTTTTTTAAATCAATCAACTAAATCAATCAACTGAATCAAGGAAAGAATAATCGGTCTTTCTGAATTCTGGTATATTTTTGAAATATACAAGTCAGTCGTGACATTTGTGAATCTGGTCAGACTGAATGAATGTGGCATAACATTAAAAAACAAAGCTCTCTCAGCGTGTCGGGAAAAGACTATTACGACTATATTTACAAAAAGGGTTTTACTAGCTGTGGTAGTTTCTTTCATCTGAGATATGTTACTCAGAAAGAAATTGTTTACTTTTAGCGCCTCTCAAGAAATATGTTAATTAGCTGTAAATTATGCAAAAATCATTGATTATGGACTCCAGAAAATCTTAACTCGCGCCAAATACAGATTGATACCCGCAGGTTTTTCTTCAGATCTTCTGAAAATAGGTATAAATCATTACAGCCAAGCACATTTCAGCGTATTTTTAGGTCCCCATTTGGAGATCTCAGGCTTCGATTTTAGTGTAATTTTGTAGACCGAACAAGAAGCAAAAAGCGGTGCGCCGTCAAGTCGCTGTCGTTTATTCACGAATTATTCAAATGCTCTTATTTTTTGGAAAAGAGAACCTGAATTGTATCGTAACTTGCTAATCTAGTTGAAATTTGGAAATAGTCAGGCGTTTTGACTCAGCGCGGCTCTACAACTTACCGAAATTCAACCTTCGATTTTGCTTGAAAATAGCTCTGCACGGGTAAAATGAGTTTCGGCGTCTAGCGAAGCCATAAAAAAGAATTTTCAAAAAATAAATTTATGTTGGACACTTGTATACCAATGCCTTTCAACACACAAAAAATAAAGGAAATCTATTTTCCGAAGTCAAAGTCATCGGACCGCTCTTAGCGGGACTGCCACTTAAATGACGAAGAAATGTGTATTTTTTTATTTTTTTTCCATATAATCACCTATGAAATTATACTAAAACAATTATTCACCTCAGGCTCGGTGATTATCGTGAATAAAAACCTCGACTTCGTCTCGGTTTTTATTCACCGATAATCACCTCGCCTTCGGCGAATAATTGTTAAATAACATCGAGCATTCAGTATTTTTGGCACGATGGATGCGATGAAAAATTTTCCTTTTAACATTGTCATTTCTTTATCTTTTAGCATTCGATGGTTTACTTTTTCCATCACTATGAACTACCAGCTATTTTAAGACGAGGTGCCCATATTGTGGCTGAAGGTCAGATTATTGAAGGACAACTAGAACTAGAGATTCTCAACCCACCAGTTCAGAATGCCACTGATAATCTCAACGAGGCAGTCGAAAATGCTGACGCTGAAAATGAAATCAATATCAGTACTAATGACGCTGATGGAAACAACGCTGCTCAAACCTCAAGTGATCTCGACACTCAAGAACCGAGATCTAACAGTAACCCTACATCCACCAATGGAGAAACATTACGTCAACGTGTACATCTCCCAAGCGATGGTGAAATGATAAATAATAGTGGTCTGAGTACTGCGCAGACTCCTAATGTTGATTCTCCTCTGAATAATTTAGATAACTACAGAACTTCTTGAATTTGCATGGTCATGCACAAGCGTGTTTTATTATTTATCATGACAGTAACGTGCAGTATATTATATGGGACGAACCTAGTATACAATATGAACATGTTTTGTGACCGCCTGCCACTGATTAATGATCACTTTTGTTTGAGGACAGTCACAAAATATGTTCGTTTCAGGTTCGTCTTTACTAGAGAGTTTGAGCAAGAGAACAAATTACGATGCCTGTCTGCGCATTATCGGGCGCATACTGAGTTCGGTGTCAGCGGTGGTTGTTCAACGAAGACAGGTTATAGATTCATCTCTAGCTGTTTATGAATGCTGACCCTAATCGTTACCCTGACCAAGACAAAAGAGCGAGGCATCAATCCATATCCCGTCCTCGTTCTTCTGCCTTCGTTTAGAACGAATACTTCGGCAAAGTTTGTCGTGAACAAAGACGGGATATATAAACAACGAGACAGGAATCGACGGGAAGACATGTTGAACCACCACCAGTAACCTCAAACTCAGTATGCGCGAGATAATGCGCAGACGGGCAAAAATTGTACTTCGTTGTCTCTCTATTCACCGTTTTCCGGTGCAAACGGTGGTTTTAAAACTTCAACACTTTATGAGCTGAAATACCACAGGGACAAGTATGTAATAACCGATATATAGCAATAAATGCATTGTAAGTATGTACTCTAAAAGAGAACAATTAAAGCGAACGACGTTGATGGTGCTAATTAATTCTCAAATTCAACAAAAATAAGGCAAGCGCGAAAGGGAGAAACAGGCCAAGAAATACTTAAAACCAGAGACTTCAACGCAGGATAATAGATTCCTTCTTTAATAGTTAGAAAATATTTTTTCAATCAATATATTCCTCCTTACTCATTTCTATAAGGTGTACAATTTTACCATAGTTTTCTTTAATTTGTTCAGGGTGTTAAAAATTTTGTATTGCCCGTGGTTATTGGAATATCTTGAAACGTCAGCAGACAACAGCAAATCGAGATTTCCACAATAAACATCTGCCATGCATGTAATAAAATATTACCCCAGCAAATTCGAAATTAAATGGCGAAAAATGCGGAAGAACGGCCTTCTCGACAAACTACACATAATGTATTTATGTAAAAAGCGCTTTATAAATGATTAAATTGTTATTATTATTATTATCACAGACTAGCCTTCTTAGTCAGGCAGATAGAAGGAAAAAACTCACCATGTCGAGGGGCAATTACAAAAACTACATATAAGACATTTAAATGGTTAGCTGGGATTTTCAAGTGGTTTTCGAGTTATTGCTGTTCCAAATGTGAAAAATAAGCCAAAATCTAGCAAAAATCCTGGGTATTAGTCTGAAAACACGCTTTCAACAGCTCATAACTCAAGAAGAACTTGAAAAACCCTGGTTACCGTTTAAATGTCTTATATGTAGTTTTTTGCAAGCTTTCAACTTATGTAAGTCAGTTTTGTTAGAAATGTATTTGAAATTTCACATTTCTTAACTGTAATAGAATCTAATACAAAATTCGAAGAAAAACGTGTCGGCAGGAGCCCGCAAGACATTTTAACGCCGCCGACATACAGAAACGTACAGTTACTAGCCTTCAGGGGCCGGTTGTATAAAAACGTAATTAGCGCTAACTGTAGTTAGCGTTAATCACTGTAGTTAAATCCTTAACTGTAATTAGTTAACTACATGACTTAACTGCGTTACACAAAACGTAGTAAGTCGGATAGTTAACTAATCACGTAGTTATCTGTGCGTGGGGCGTTTAAACACGAAATTACATAAAGTAAGCAGCGAGTAACGACCGCTGACACATTTTCAACACGATTGTGGACTCGTATTTTGCAAATAGGCGGGAATTTTATTCAAAACACTAGAAAACAGTGAAAAATAAACAAAAAAATAAAGAAAAACCGCCACAAAAATCATAAAAGAATGCAGTTTTTCCTTGAGATGTCTACGTTAAACCAAGGTATAGCTGTTTGGCAAATATATATCAGTGTTTCTTGGTGTAATGGACCATACTTCGTCTTCGAGAAATCTTCCTGTGCAAAAATATGTTCTGTTTTCGTAAAAATACCAAAGCATAGCATTTGAAGAGTTTATATTGTCAGGAAACATTCACAGGGAAGATAGCGATTGAAAATCTCAGGTAAGCGTTGCTTTTCATTATTGTTTTACTGAAAAATGTTGTTCACTCCTATACAAACGCCATTTTTAACTACGTTTTGGACAGTTGACTATACCCTAAAGCATAGTTAACTTTAACTACTTTTTAACTGCAGTTAAGGCTAACTACACTTTTACACAACCGGCTTAACTACGTGATTAAAGTTAACCACTTTTTAACTACTTTTTAACTGCAGTTAGCGCTAACTACGTTTTTATACAACCGGCCCCTGAGCACAATATGAACGCAAAATGGAATTGCCCCTAGATATGGTAAGTTTTCCATTTTTGTTCCTCTATCTGCCGGAATATCTCCGTAGGCATCACCTTTATACGTACAGGCGGGCAGAATTTGGTTGCGGGCAAAACAATTTTAGTGGTGACTTTACCCAAGCAACCCAAGTGTACCACAAGATGCCTGTGGAGGAAGCCAATCACAGACCTTGCATTTCATAATACCAGCGGTCTTAGACTACTTGTATAATTCCGACATAATTAACTGTAGATTTCAAATGGAGATTGTTGGGAAGAATGAACAAATATTTTGGCGATATCATCAAAGTCGTACGTTTTTGCTGATAAACAATCCATAATCCTTATTCCTCCGATTGTCTGAAAACAGAAATGTTCTATTTTAGTGCAATTTTAAAAAGAACTGGATAACATTCTCTTACTTTCAAACGAAAAACTAAATTACACAATAGTGTGATAGCCACTTGTGTTTGTAACGCCAATTGTTGCCCTCAACGCTTACAATGCTTGTGATTAGCGAGATTATATATTGTTGCAAAAAAAGCGCGTTGGCTAGCTTAGACCCTGTCTTCTGGAAGTTAAACGTCACGCATATCTGAGCGCTAAATGAACAGCAGGAATTAAATGGCCTAAAAGAGAAAGCCTGGGACTAGTTAGCGCCTTGTCCATCTATGGTCCATACCTTGCCAATGCGTTGTCATATAGCAAAGTTATGTGCGGAAATGTGAAACAGTACCTGTAACCCAGTTGCAAGTGGTAGCAGTTGAAGTTGCAATCCAATTGATGTACCAGGAGTTAATATTCCAAGTTTCTGTAAAATACGAGAAATTCAACTTATACATGAAAGTATATGTGCAATAAACTTATGAAACACGTGAATAGACTATAGGATGGAAACAAACTGTATCTATGATCGAAAGTCATGTGTATCCCACCGGACCCGTGTGGAAACTTAAGTAACATATGTACCTTTCCCGACGTACCACACCAAACAATTCCGCCATCCTTTGCTTTCGTCATCAAAAGTTGACAATCAACCTTTCTTTCGCTGAAAATGTTCGAGAAAATAGGAAGAACGACTGAAGATAAGAACTATAAAATGAAAGTCATTTATCGTTCACTGATAACGGAATTTGTCATATGATCGAGGCTGGGTGATTCGAGAGTAACTGCTAACGGAAACAACGCTGACTTATGAAACACACTGAGTAAAACAGCACTGCTAGCGCATAACAATATTTTTAATCAAAATTGTTTGAAAACGAAAACAACATGTAATATAGATTTCATCCTTCTTTCGTCTATAAATTTGTTTGAACATTCATTGCTCGTTAATTAATGTTCTTCGCCTTTAAAACACACACTCACTAAAAACCCGATGCACTATCCTGGCGGCGACTTCTAAATAGGAAAATTGAAAAACTTTAGAACCAACCACCCTACCTAGATTTTTTCCAGAAGAAATAAGAATCCGGCATATTCTTGCATAAAGCTTACAAGAACAAATAACGTAATAGAACGCCATTTAATCTTGATGATTTATGATGCAGAAGATCATTTCCGTTTATTTGGGCCGCTTTCGGGTTCTGCTAAAAAGTATGGTGTCAAGTAACGAAGTAAATGTACTTCGTTAAACGAAGTAAATGTACTTCGTTACTGTACTTGAGTACAATTTTTGAGAAGTGAGCATGTAACAAAGTAAACTTTTTCTGGAGTACTTTTACTTGGAACGAAGTTGTTTTAAGAAGTAACGTTTTACTTCCGGTTATTTTCATTCTGTAGCGAAGTATTTCGTTACTTTCTCACATTTGTTTAATTTTACGTGATTTATTCCTGATTTATTTTAATTTTTGGATAGGTAATGGGACCTCTACATGCGTCTGGGATCTCTCGTTTGTGCCTTACTTAACTTCAACGGGGTCTGAAAAGTACACCATGCCGTGAAATATTGTATACTATGGTACACGTATATAATGCGTGTGCTGTTTTGTGTCTTTTAATAATTTTGTATGTCAATCCATTGGAGAAGTCCCCCCCCCCCCTCCCCCTACACGCTATAGACAATAGTACTTTTACTTTGTACTTCAAGTATTTTTAAGGATACTTTGTACTTTTTACTTAAGTACGTTTTGCCTTCAGTACTTTTTACTCGTTTTATTGTTAATTACTTCAGTCTACTTTTACTCGAGTACAAATTCAAACTAATTTAGGCACCACTGCTGCTAAATGGTCAATGAGGAATATTTTCAATACAGTATGTGATGCTGCTAGATGAGGTTTGCCTCGTATTTGTCAATTACCATTAAGCTGGATCTAAAATCAAACCGATTTTCTATCTAAACAATATTAAGCAGAACATGCAGGTAAACAAATTTTCAACTCAATAAAGCTCTGACTCTGCCTTACCTCATGTTCTGTAAATTACAAGTTAGTTCAAATCTCGTTTCCACAGCAACGGTGTCCGGTAGTTTCGTGATCTGGAGTTTTAAATCTGGTGCAGTGGATGGCTAAATTGACAGTTTTAAAATTTAGAATATGTTCCAGGCAGAGGTAAATTAAAATTACTGTGGATGCAGGGGCCGGTTGTATAAAAAAGTGATTAAAGTTAACTATAGTTAGTGGAAATGTCATCCAATAAGAAGCGCGTACGTATTTGAGAGTTAATCACTATTTAACTACAAAATAGTGATTAAAAAAGTGATTAAGAGTTTTATACAACCGGCCCCAGGTATATATAACTTCATTAGATATATATTTAACAATTATTCGCCGAATGCGAGGTGATTATCGGGGAATATTCACCGAGACGAAGCCGAGGTGAATATTCCCCGATAATCACCGAGCCTGAGGCGAGTAATTGTTTTAGTATTTTTACACAAGTCTTTTGTGTTTTTTTTGGGACTGAATTTATTTTAATTTCGCTTATTTGTTTATCAGTATAAACTTCCACAAAACGGCTAGCCGCCATTTTGCAAATTTCGGTTTTGTTATATTCACCTGTAGGTGAATATAACATCTTAATACGTCAAATTTGACCAATCAACTTCTAGGATTTGTTATATTACTACATACTAAAAGTTATTATCCCATGTGATTGGGTGTTACAACTCACAACTGACGTCATTACCACCAACAATATTAAAGGTCAAAGACTTGGAAGCGTGGCACATAAGTATGAAGCATGGTTGTGGTTTGAATGACGACGGTAGCTACAGCATGTCATCCTTGTTGGCTGATGACGTCATACCTCAAGTATCAAGCCTCATTGCTACTTAGATCACCCCTGGTGAAAACACTATAGATCTAGACTGGGTGTCGAAACGTTTGGTCGTAAACGTCTGCATGCACTCGTTAACTTAAACCAGAGTAGCGAAACGTTTGACTACAGTATAACTCAACAATTTCTGCTGGCATTTCATATCTCTTTGTAAGACTTTTATATGTCTCTGAAACTGCAAAGCTCCCACATCACTAAACTATATATATCACTAACAAAGAACACTGCAAATTTTTATTACTAGCTTGTTGACATTCTGTATTTTCCACTTGCTTGCACACAGTGTTGCTTACTCTGATAACAAGTTCTACTAACCGGTTCTGTAAAACCTACCACTTTCTGCAACTGGCTGGTTTGTAATCTTCCTTTTTCCCCCATTGCTGATCTCCAAACTATATCCAGTTTACCAACAGCCGACGAAGGTGCCTGTGAAATAAATCAAACCTAAATATGAGGTGGCGAAATGTCTGTTCACATGAGCCAGGCTAATGGGACAACTCTCTTCCAATTTTGCTAATCCACACAAAAACTAAAAAGCACTGTTTATACTGTACTCTGCCGGGCTAACCAAGACAAACTTTTGTCTACGTTTGATATTCTTAAGTAATCGTGCTAACAGACAAACACACACACATAAAAACATAACCTCCTGGCGGAGGTAATAATTGTGAGATGAGCCAGTCCAAGGTCTCGCTCCAGGATAAGTGCCTATTCTTGTCCACAACAACGAATATTCATGTGCCACTATGCTTGTAATTCCTATTAGATAATAATAATTTCGTCCCGAGGTGGGGTACAAGGTGCGCTAAAAAGAACCAATATGAACACAAAACCTATTTTAAAAAATATATTGTAGTATTTATATTTATACGTATATTTTTCGAAGAATAGCTGAATACATGTAGCACTGGCCAGTGTTTTTCATTGTTTATATTTGTTTTTTAAGCATTTTGTTCGGAGAAAAGTACATTTCAGGCTTGGCACTAAGTCTCTTGAAGTCAATTCACTGTATTTCACTATATTTAGTATCGATATTCATGGTGGATTTTAGTCAACTTTTTGGGTAGTGTTTTGAGTTTGAAAATTGTTTTCACTCCTCGGTTTGTCGCTAAAAAAATAACTCTTTTGGACCACGGTCAAGATATCGTAAAAAGCTGCCCGCTCCTGCAGCCAATCAGATTGCAGGATATAAAAATATCACTATAGGCATGCACAAATAAAAAATAAGTTTAGTTATTAGACTGCATACAAACGTAGAATTAAAATTGTTAAGAGTGGGGGCTCCTGGACAAACACAGGGTCACGCAGTACTTATATACATGAACAGGCTTTGCGATTGGTTGATTATAGCAATAAGATACGATAAAATATAGAAATTATTTTTCTAAAGAACGAGTCATAAACATGACTGATCACTTTTGCTTCAGAAAGATAATCACAAAACGTGCTCATACTATAGATAGGTAGTTACTGGGAACATACAGTAAAACCAAATAAAACTTACTTTAACTCTATCCTGCATTGTCGGTGAAAATTTCGTCTTTATTCTGTACAAATATTGATGAGTGTCATTGGGGTTAAGACAGAAACTTTTCCCAAGATGAAAATTACTGAAAAGTGATAAATATAAACTTATCAATGAATATAGAAAACCAACAGGTAAAAATCCAAACAAATATAACACGTTTAGGGCAAAAAGTAAGTGTATCAAAATTTCGCTTCGGTATCATGTGAGAGGAGAAATTCCAGTTTGCGGTTTCCTCCTGCATGTGGTGATACTGGGCCAATAAAGGAAAGCCCTTGTTGTACCTCTAGAAAGAACAGTTTATTAGAACTGATACACGTTTTGAATTCAATTATGTTTAACTTGGTTTAGCTTCTAAGTACAAACCTTGATGTGTCATTCAGATCTTCCGCAGTATAATGTAAGGAAGGTTCAAATTTTACTGATTCCATCGTCAAGGGGGTCGTGGTGATGTTTTGCACTTGAGCCTCCAGGTACATCTCATCTTCCTATATGACATTGTTATATCTTACATAAAGTAAAAGATATGGTTGTGCATGATATTAGGAAATATAATTAGGAAATTTGTTGCCAATCTGAAGTCACATAAGCTTCTGACTTTGGCCATAGACGTTCAAAGGAAACAAATAATGACATTCCTTTCCTTTGCTACATTGTCTATGCTTTGGCTAACATGTAATATACATATATTATTATCTAAATTGAAGATATATCAAATTGAAGAAAAATAATATATCATTTAGTTTTAATGATATCAGTTTCCAGTCGATCCGCACGTTGTAAGCCAATAAGACTATAGGTTACGTTTAACAATACACCCTTCCATAAAGTAATTAGCCTTGGTTATAGAGCCCCGTTTTCAGGGTTGAGATATCGGCTTTAGAGTCTTTTATCTTGTTACCGATGACTTGACTATAAAAAAGGTTTTTATACTCGCTAAATAAATATAACAGTTTAGTATTTTTGCACAAGTGAACATAACAAATCCTACAAGGTGATTGGTCAAATTTGACGTATTAATCTGTTATATTCACCTACAGGTGAATATAACCAAATCGAAACTTTCAAAATGACGGCTAGCCGTTTTGTTGAAGTTAGTGATAAAGAAATAAGCGAAATTAAAATGAATTCAGACCAGAAAAACCCGATAATCACCTCGCCTTCGGCGAATAATTGTTAAATGATATCGTAAATGTGTTACAAGCAAGGGTGGGTTGACTACAAAATTTTTGTAGTTCGCTATAACTACAGCTACTTCAAAAATATGTAGTCAGCTACAACTACTGCTACTTTTGAACAAAGGTAGTTCGCTACTGACTACAGCTACTGCTTAAAAAATGTAGCCAACTATTTCGCTATTTCGCTACGCTATATTTTTTAGTTGTACTGTATTTGGAGCATCTACTAACTCAGGCTGTAATGTAACCTATAGCAAATCGACTTACGAGTAGCAACAGTAAGCACAAAGCAACATTTTTGTAAGCACTACGTCTACAGTGTTCAGGAGTGCAAATTGACTATTGAGTATTGATTTTACCTCAATATCATGCTATTCTATCAAGTTGCTAACAATTTTAAAAAGTAGCGAATAGCGATTCGCTGTTTGAAAAGTAATCAACTACTTGGCTACTTTTAGGCAAAATGTAGTTCGCTGTAACTACAGCTACTGATTTAAAAAAGTAGTCAAAAACTACTGGCTACTTGAAAATTGTAGTTCGCTACAGTAGCGAACTACAACTACTTCGCTACTACCCACCCTTGGTTACAAGTAACAAGATCAATAGCTCTAAAGCCAACAATATGTATAAATTAGTTGATAAGATAGGAACAATTGTGTAAGTCAGTTTTTACTGCAAAACAATTGATTAATAAACAGATATTATTATTATTATATTATTATTATCATTATTATAACAAGATAAATGGCTCTAAACCACCCTCCTTCAGCGCCGCCCTTGTGTACAATCCAAATAAGTTATTGGATATTTGGATACAATTATTCTACTGGGTTAAGTGAACGAGCAGATGGGGTTCAGTTTCGAACTACAAAAAATATATAAAAAATAATAGATTGACAAACCTCAGGGTAGAATTTTGTTTTTACATCAAGTGGTTTAAGAACCTATAACCAAATAAAACTGGATCCAATCTCCATTCAATGGCATATACATTAAAAGGTAGAACATTAATATATTTTTGGACAAGTTTAACATTGTTGATCCTCACTTGAAATTTAAAAAACTTTCTGAAATACATCTTCTCTCCGTTGGGAGCTGTGTAGCTAACAGCGCATACCAGTCTACAAAATTAGAAACGTGCTAGGTGAAATACAGTTTATAACCAAACAACGAAACACAAGCTACAGTATAGTTAGTGTTAAATGTTAATATGCACTGCCATTATATGAAGATATCTCCTGCCATGCGAATTTAGGGTGTGAGAAAATATTCATACTGTAGGTGCAGCCTAAAGATTCAGTCTGTTTCATCGTGCGGAAAAGAATGTTTCTTGCAGTGATGTGTCTTTTATATATTGTACTACCTCAGGGTGTTAGCTACAGTAAAAAATTCCGCGTTAAACGCGGTTTTCCCAATTACCTTGAGGTCGCAATTTCCCAATTTGGGTCAGCCAAAAAATAGTTATAGAAATTCATTGTTGTTAATACACCATTAAAAACATGTTTATAACTACATTTGCTCAAAATTACTCCCAAAATGCGGGAAATGCCATTTCAAAGATACAAAAATTTTAAAAATCGAGAGGGGCAACCGCATCCCCCCGCCCACAAAGAAATGCCCGGCTTCAGGCTAAAAGAAATTTCCCAATTTCAGGTAAACGCGGATATTTTTTTTACTTCTGGCTAACACCCTGTACCTGTGATACAATATATTGCAATGTATTTCGCTTGTGCAATTTCAAAAATGCTATGTTACAGATATTACACAAAGTACCCTCAGTAAGGTTGCAACAAACCTTGGCACTTAATTGAATAATTTCATCTATTACATGGCAGTTAAAAGTTATAAATTATAATTATTTTATTTATTTATTTATTTATTATTATTATTAATAATCAGTCATGACCTCACCAGAGTGGTTTTATATAATTAGGCACTAAAATTAAGTGGCAACTTACATATGTGTTCCCAGTTCTTTGACTTCATGTTGAATGACTTGATCAATACTTTCCGAGGGATCTAACTTAACCACAGGTTCATTGCTTGTTAAGCTTAACAATGTTAGTCTTTGGGATGAGGTCTGCAGGTCAGTCTAAATGAGAAAATGAACCACTGTATCACAGTTCTACTGCTACATGCTGTTTTACATGTCATATCGAAAGTTTCTCTGACCAAATTTCTTCCCTACAGGTTGATGCAATACTGATGAAAACAGGATTGGACAATGTTTTGCTGCCCACATTGTTCATAGCTGTCAACAATATTGAACAATATTGTTACACCCGATTCAGGCTCAACAATATTGTTCAATATTGTTGACAAGTTTGAACAACGTGGGCAGCAAAACATTGTTCAGTCCTGTTGAGCAGCGGGCTCGGCGTTTTTTTGCAGTGTATGCGGTTGTAGGCGTCTCACTGCTTGCAGGAAGAGCCAGAAAAGTAGTGTGGAAAGAGTTAATTGAAGAAGCTGGACCCGGACAAAGCACTCCACTATATAATAATAGATTGGGTTTTTGTACAGTATAATTCAAAACGAATTCTACATGGGACGCTAGTGTATCCTATACGTGAATCCACCCCGTCATAGCTTTGATTTCAGTTCAAATAAATTTTACTGCTCAATTATATATGAAAACATCCCATAATCATTCTAAACATTATATACTTATAGCCCTCATGATATGACTTAACATTCATTTCGAATTAAAAAGGCGCGTTTTAATTTTGGCAAAATTTAATAACTGAAAGAATGTTAAGGAAATCGCTAAACTTCGTCAAGCTTCAAATACAATGTATATGAAGGCCAACATTTGTACTGACCTTTATTACAATGTCTTTGGCCACTTGATTACTGTCGTTATGAACACAAATATAGCTTGAGAATGTTTCACCAAGGAAAATATTTCTGAAAAACAATAACTGATATTTAGATTTTAATAGTTGCACGGTATTTGAATTAATCATGTATTCTTCCACGAATGTCACGCGTAATATGCGTGAATAATATTTATAATTATTATTGTTACAGTTTGGTTGGTTGATTTTCAGAATTTTTTATATCCACCACAGATACGCATTCGTACTACACCAGATATGAATCTCATGCAGGATAACTATATTATCAGCCTAGTGAACGACCAAATTCGTAATGTTCGAGGCATGTTTTACACTTACTGACCAAATTTGTACTTTGATGATTTATCAATTAATTGTTCGTTTTTATCATTATTGTTGTACAGTGCATGTATGTGGTATATTTGACTATTTTTATACTGTTTAAGTATAGGTAATCATGCGATGTTGCTCGTACAATTAGGGATTAATAGGACTCGTGATGTTTGGAAATTTTGCCAAAATTGGACGAGCCGCCTTTACTTGTTTATTATTAGCATGACAAAATTGGATACTTCTCGATCTCAACATCATATATTCTCTCGCCAAAGGCCAGTCCTGCCAGTCTTTCAACCAAAATTTGGTGCTTTTGTTCGTATTTTCATCTAGTTCCTCTGGGGCAATTTCATTTCACGCTTGTGTTTAAAATACCTTTCCGCCATTTTGTTTGTTTTGGAAAAATCATTAATTGTACTGCAGTACAATTAATGAAATAATTGTACTCCTCTCAACCAATCAGCATCCAGTAATTTTGTCATGCTAATAATAAATATTATAATATAGCATTTGTAAATTCTGAACGCTGATTGGCTAAGAGCCGTGTTGATATAACTCAATGTCAACACGGGAAATTTTCCGCCGCTTGTAAACACGGAAATTTTTCTTATCCTTCGGGCTTTTGACATTGCTATATTATAAAAAAAATATAAAACATTTTTTCCGTATTGATATATAGTTATATCAACACTCGTGGAAGTTGGGAAAACTCGAAATTGTATGAAAACACTCCGCCCTTCGGGCGTCGTGTTTCCATACAATTTCTCGTTTTCCCAATTCCACTCGTGTTGATATAACTGTATATCAACACGGAAAATGTTTTATATTTGTTAATTGTAAACGATTGTATTTTTGATGCAGGACCCCACTGTAAAACAGTTAAAAACACGTATGTGATGTGGGTATCCTGGATAAATATAATTATTATAAATATTATTAAAGTTTGGCAAATTTTCGTTCAAAATATTCTGCTTCCTGTTGTGGGAATTGGTACCCTGAGTGTGTTTTTAAATCATAACCGGTACGTCTCAATCTATTCAGAAAACCTTTTTGCTTAATAAGCAGGAATAGATTAATCAGTATATGAATACAATGGAACTGTCTGATATACACCCAGTGACATGTGGAATTCCAAAGTTTGTCTTGTACCACAAGAAATTATCTAAGGAACCCAAGACAAATATTATAGCTGGGTCAACTCCACTGCAAAATCATACCGTCTATGAATACCTAGGGGTACTACTGAATAATTCTTTGTCACTAAAGCATCTAGAATTAAACTTCTGATATATATTGACCTACCATCACAACCTATGTTGCAGAACCAATTTACAAAATGATGTTTCTTTACAGGGCCCTCTACTTCTTGGCTTAGAGACATTTGTTAATAGGTATCAAAAAGTCCAGGATTGTGCATATAAGGTCGTTTTTGGAGATAGAGATACAATCGGCATATTATCGATTAGTAGCTATTGACGTTTGAGAGTGCTTTCATGGTCTTGTACAACAATTACTTCAAAATAAATGATCATAAGATCAAAACTTGTTGCAACGGGAAAAAGATTGTTTTACCAAAGGTCAAACGGGAGTATGGACGAATATCGTTCATAATTCAAGGAGGAAGACTTTTGAACACTTTACCCAATGATAATAAAGGAGAAACATCTACTGTGACTTTTAGACAAAAAAATACAACGAATGTTTAACCCTAATTTTAGTATAGCTGTTTTTCACTAAAATGTTTTTTTATTTATTTTACACAGGTCCTCCATCACCTCTTGCATTGCATATACAGTATACATAGCAAAACTAACCCAAATGTTTGTGGTAAGACAAGCATTTCGCCCAAGGCGAAATTTTCGAGTCCCTTAGCAGTTCCAATGTCTTTCTTAAACGCATCTGAAAAAGTTGTTCCTAAAATATAGCACAAAAAAATGATACAGTGGTTTTTTTCATACAGACCAAAATGATCTTAGAAGATCTTATCATCATCCTGCAAAATATTTTCATAATCCTACAAAATTTTGTCATGATTGCACAACTGACCATGACCCTACAAGATCTTATCATGATCCTACAATTTCTTATCATGATCTTACATGATCATACACTGTATCATGATCATACAAGATCTTACCAGAACCGTACAAAATCTTAGCATGATCCTACAAGATCTTATCATGATCCTACAAGATCTTATCATGACCCTACAATTTCTTATCATGATCTTACATGATCATACACTGTATCATGATCATACAAGATCTTACCAGAACCGTACAAAATCTTAGCATGATCCTACAAGATCTTATCATGATCCTACAAGATCTTATCATGACCCTACAATTTCTTATCATGATCTTACATGATCATACACTGTATCATGATCATACAAGATCTTACCAGAACCGTACAAAATCTTAGCATGATCCTACAAGATCTTATCATGATCCTACAAGATCTTATCATGACCCTACAAAATCTTATAACGATCCTACAAGATCTTATCATGACCTACAAAATCTTATCATGATCCTACAAGATCTTATCATGACCCTACAAGATCTTATCATGACCCTATAAAATCTTATCATGATCCTACAAGATCTTATCATGATCCTACCAGATCTTATCATGACTCTACAAGATCATATCATGATCCAAAAGATCTTACCACAATCGAAACAATTTTATCATGATCCTACAAGATCTTGTCTTGATCCTACAAGATCTTACCATGATCCTACAACATCTTGTTGTGTTTTTACAAGAACGTACCATTATTCCACAAGATCATATCACGATCGTAGAAGATCTTGTCATGATTCTACAAGATTTTGTCAATATGCTACGAGATTCTGCAATTATCCTACAAGATCTTGCCATGATTTTACAAGATCTTGTCATGATCCTTCAAGATCTCGCCACTGTCCTTCATGATCGTTTCATGATTTTACAGGATTATGTCATGATCCATCAAGATCTTGTCGTGATCCTTTAAGATCTTGGCATTGTCCTTCAAGATCTTGTCATGATCTAATTACAAGATGTTGTCATGATCTAATTACAAGATCTTGTCATTATCTTACAAGATCTTACCATAATCTTACAAGATTTTGTCATGATCCTTCAAGATCTTGTCATGATCCTACAAGGTCTTGCCATGATACCACAAGATTTTGTCATGATCAGGTATCTTTTCGTTATCCTATAAGATCTCACCATGATCCCAAACGTTTTTGTCCTTCAATATCTTACTTATCATAGGATACTTTGCAAACCCATACAGCTGTACTAGTATAATTATGAGTCTTGACATGACGACGTTTTGAAAGTAAACTTAATACTTTTTGTGTTTACCTGGTAAATTGTGTTTCTCCGTTGCTACAGGTATTGACATGTACAGTGAAGGTTTTGTTAGCCTCATTACTACAGGAATAAGAAATTATGAAGAAAATCACACACTCAATCACATCTAAGAATGCATAGTTACAGTTAAAAACATTTTCTAAAACTCTATGCTCAACTATTACGAATGCTTGTCAAAAGCATTTGACAGGTTTTGATCCAATCCGCCAATCATGTTTTTAATAGACGATCCTGACAGTTTGACTAACTCACAACCTGTTCGTTACAGGGCTTAGCGTTGGGATGAATTTTAGGGTGTTGTTAAGAGATTACGACATCAGATGCCAAGTATATTGACATCACCCATAACAAATACCCACGAGGAACTCTCGCGTCTTGAAGGGCCGAAGCCTTCAGCCCAGTGTGCAAAGTTTGCATTGCGCAACCAAGATATCTGGCGCAATTTTGATGCTTTCTAGATAATTATATATAGTAAACTGGAGACGGTCCGTTATGTACTGTGTTACATGAAGTGTATTCGTCCACTTCATTCCTGTACACGCGTACAAACGCTCAGGTTGATGCAATACTGATGAAAACAGGATTGAACAATGTTTTGCTGCCCACATTGTTCATAGCTGTCAACAATATTGAACAATATTGTTACACCCGATTCAGGCTCAACAGCATTGTTCAATATTGTTGACAAGTGTGAACATGCGAAGTTCTGGACTGTTTGCAATTTCTTTAGATTTTTCGATGAGGTATTAGCCCACACCGAAGAACTGTATAACAACTTGTTAATCACCAAAGCTTCAATAAGTAATATTAAAGTTTTTTTTATCAAAGCTCTCCTTTACTAGACTAATTTGACATAATTTGTTTATGCACGTTGACGACAGTTTAGAAATATGGTCATCATAGGAGAGATGTACGTCGAGGTGCATCCCCAAGTCTTTGGCAACTGAAACTGGTTTAAGAGTTTTTCAGAGAAAGTTCAGATTGATTTGTGTTGGTAAATTCTGTAGCATTGATCTTGTGTCTACTAAGAGGAAATTGGTCTTGTCAGGATTGATTAATAATTGATGTTCCAAGCACCATTTAGCGGTTTTATACAGATCGTTTTCTAGTTTAGCTATTGTCTGTTGTACGTCTTCGACAAGAAATGCAAGATGGAGTTTTGAATCGTCAACGTAGGAGTCGAGATCGATTGAAACCGTTACAGCTGGTAGATCATTAACGTAAATTCCAAACAAAAATGGCGAAAGAATAGAGCCCTGGGGCACTCCATGGGTTAGTGCGCTAGTTGAGGAAACAGTTGATCCTATTCGTACGTATTGTGATCTGCCCGACAGATAGCTTTCGAACCATTGAATGGCTATTAATTAAATGCTAACAATGCAATGAAATGCTAATTAAATGCTAACAATGCAATGAAGATGTTAGCCTGCGAACAGGCTCTCAACCTAAATTGAGAGCCTGCATCGATAACTAATGAATTTGAATATCTGCCCCGTAACGTTCGTTTTTCCAAATATGGAATGTCTATCCTTATATGGTGTTGTTTACAACTTTCGTGCAAACTAAATTTAGACCGTGCAAACTAAATTTAGACCGTACAGTTTATACTGTTTTTCGAAATATAAGATATTCAAGCGAAAGTTCAAATGTTTTAAATACTGTTTTCTCAAAACAGAACATTTCGTGCTTTGATATAAGACGGCCAAGACCAATTTGATCAGTTAATGTGTTTTTTATGCATAGTGCTTCAGCAGTTGACATACATAGAGCTCAGCGGAAACATATAAATTATAGCATCTGACCAATGAGAATTTCGCGGAGACAAGAACCAGAACATGACAAAGAAGCTGGCAAACGCTCTGCTGGACGACTCCTAAAAACCCAGACAGCAAATGCAGCTCGTAGCCAATACTGTCAGACCAAACAAGAAGAACTGAAAAATCCCCAACCAGACAAAGGTGACAAATGCCATTACTGCGGCCATGGAAAACGTGCACCACCAACAATTCGTAAAACTACACGCCCCGCATTTGGGAAAACCTGCGGACATTTTGGTCGCCCAAATCATCTTGCTGCGGTATGCCAACAAAAATAAAACACAAAGCGTCCCCCAAAGTAACACCATCCAACCCCGCCACTGATGCAGAAGGCGCGATATTCGACTCGCTGTGCACAACATCCAACAACATCACTGCTGCTACAGACAAAACACTCATCGCGTTGGACCACCAGCTTTACAACCACCTTAACGATTACTGGGTTCGTCAAGCTTCCAAACCACAACCTTTTGTCTCACTTACAGCTGCATTATGCCCCGAACATTACAAAACCTTCGGACTTGCACTCCAACCACCCGCTGTAAATCCGTCGATATATGCCTCAAGTACATTCAATACCTACGAACACCAGCCGTTACCATTCATGCAGAGCCCACCAATGCGACTCATGGTGAACCCTGACGCTGTTCCGGTGGCACATCACAACCCTATCCCAGTCCCCCTCCACTGGCATTGGTAATGTTGAATTGGGCGTCCTTGAACCTGTTCCTGTTGGTAAATCAGTTACATGGTACCATCGCATGTTTGTGCCAAGAAGAAATGGAAACCACTAGAACAGTCGATTTCCAAGCACTAAACCTCCACGCCACACGGGAAACACATCACACACAAAATCCCTTCCAGCAGGTGAGATCTGTACCCAGCGATAAAAAGAAAACTGTGTTTGACTGCTGGAACGGATACCACAGCGTTCCCCTCCACCAAGACGATCGCCACCTCACAACATTCATCACACCTTGGGGTAGATACCGCTATAAAACTGCACGTCAAGGATACGTTGCATCGTCATTTGCGAATGTACCCAACAAAACCAAGTGCACCGATGACGCATTACTCTGGAGTGATGATATTACAAGCAGCTTCTTCCAGGCAGTGAATTGGTTCGACATCTACGACAAGAACGGCATCATTTTAAATCCCGAGAAGTTTGTCTTCTGTCAGGACACTGTTTCATTTGCTGGTTTTGAGATCACACCAGATAATGTACGACCCTGCTAACAGTATATATATGCCATTCGCAATTTCCCCAAGGCAAACAACATCACGGACATGCGCTCCTGGTTTGGGCTTATTAACCAAGTTTCTTACGCATTTGCCTCAGCAGAACACATGCTCCCCTTCAGAGAAGCCCTTAAACCTGGGTCATCGAACGATGTGAACACATGGATTCTTCAGAACTGAATGACCTTTTTGAGGAATCCAAAGCTGTTATCATCAGTGAAATCGAGAATGGTGTACGCATATATGACAAATCCAAACCTACTTGCTTGGCCACTGACTGGTCAAAGACCGGCATCGGCTTCTGGTTATTTCAAAAACATTGCAATTGTGCCTCCACCAAACTGTTCTGTTGCCGCACTGGCTGGAAAATATCCCTCGTAGGCAGCCGCTTCACACACGCTGCAGAGTCCAGATGTGCCCCTATAGAAGGAGAGGCCCTAGCTGCTGCCAACACACTAGACAAAGCTCGTTTATTCGTCTTGGGCTGTGAGAAATTAATTGTCGCTGTTGATCATAAACCATTGCTGAAAGTCCATGGTGACCGGTACCTGGAAGACATCTCTAACGTACTGTACGGTTATGCAACCTGAAAGAGAAAACCCTTCGCTACTGCTTTCAAATGGTCCATATCCCCGGTAACAAGCATAAGGCTGCAGACGCAATGTCACGCCACACAACCGGACCCCATAACCCCGAAGCCCTTCCCATGCCAGATGATGTTGCCGCCATGAACGAATCATGCAACACAATACTCCCTCCCTTTGGACACCCTTTCCTTGCTAGCATACGTTCTAATGCACCCCACTCTATATTATCACCCCAGACCTTGAAAAAGAAACTCTCCCCTCCCAATAACCTGGGATCACGTGAAAGAAGTCACAGCCAGCAACAACAACATGGAGAAACTCCTTTCCATCATTGAAACAGGCTTCCCTGCATTCCGTTACCAACTCCCCGGTGATCTACAAGAATATCACCAATTCTGTGACCACTTACACACAGTCGATGGTGACATCCTGTACAAAGAACGCATTGTGATACCACCCTCACTTCGACATCATGTACAGTATTATCCACACTCCACTCAGCTCACCGACAAGGTGTCACATCCACGATTTCCAGAGCTGAGTCAACAGTCTTTTGGCCCGGCATCATCCCAGTCATCTGAGCGTTACGGGATCAATCATGCAACCACTGTATACGAATGGCACCATCGCAGTCCAGTGCCCCACCATCAGCGACCACCCCACCTAGCTCCAAGGCATGAACGGTTACCTCGTTATAGTCGACCGATACTCTAACTGGCCGATTATAGCAGGTGCGTAAGTTTGGACCAGGCTGCCCCTGGTCCTACCGGGATTGGGTGCCCCCAATGTGAGGCCATCCTACATCCTTTTGAAGTATCTGACAATATGAACATTTTGCTAGTCGTCTATAGAAGCCAATTTTAATGGGCTTCTTAAAACTGGAAATATAAATATATAGAAAAATTCATAAAACGTAACTATAAAATAACACCATGCAGAAATAGTCTTTGACATAAACAGTAAAATATGTGCCACTGTACTTACAGCTATTTGCATTCGAGCACAAACCGCAAACATTTTCGCGCGTTTTTTACGTTTGAAACGAGGCGTTTACCGTCTGAAACGGAAATGTATTCACCGCTCATGTGCATCTGACGTGTCACAGTGGAAAGCCCTTCAGTTATTTCTGGCGCAACTGTAATGTTTTGATGTGCCTTCGTGCACGTTTCAGTATTTTCAAGCTCATAATATATTGTAAGAGTGACCAAACTTGTTTACATGCATTCACACTTCTTGTGACTAGAACGTATTATCGTGGGCTTGGAAATATTGAAACGTGTACGAAGGTACATCAAATTTCAATCGATCATTTTATCAACGGAAAGCTTCCTTGCCTCCTCTATGCCTCAATTGAGTTCAGGGAAAGCGCATCTAATCTGTCTTGTGCAACACGTGGCCTAAGATAAGTCTTAATTATTTTCAACTTACTCAACGATTCTGCTGTAGCAACTGTTACAGCTGATACTAACTTAGAAGTATTTGAAGGTGTTTGAAAATGTCGATTCCACTCTTTAATTTTTTCAAATTATTATAAGTCATCCCGAGCAATTCTTCCATGGAACAGAATGCATACGACAAAACGTCTTGTGTCAAATCATTAGCATAGTCCTCTGAGTTTTCAAACTCGGAACTCAAGTCAAACATGTATGTAGAAATCAGATCATTGGCAGCACAACCATCACTAGCTGTCATCTTCAATATGCTCTTTGTTGCCAAACAATTGAATGTCTTGGCAACAAAGGCCTGACCTTCGAACCGTTCTTCTAGTTGCGATGTAGCCGTGTCAATAAATTAAAGAATACTTCGACAGTTCATCTCTTGTAGTACGACGGTTCATCTCTTGCTTCCTCGTCAAAAAATATACGAATTTTTATTTTCAATAAAAGAGGATACAAGAATGCCAACTTTAAGAGAAAACACTGTAAACTCTCTTAGAATTTCATTCCATTCGCCTCTCATTTCTCTAACATTATTCAACGCTCTCCCTAATTCACTGTTAATTCCTAGATCCATGTCTTCTGCATGAAAATCTCTGGATGCTAAATTTTTAAAGAAAGGATTCTTTCCCAAGTGTTCTGCAAAATAACAAATTCCATAATGCTTATATGTTTGAGTAGATTTGAGCCTCTTGCTTTTCTTTATTTTTAGAATCTTTGATGTATCCTTTCATCAGCTGATTGATATCACTCAACGTGTTCTTAGTTGCCCTGATTGTATCAATTTGCAAAGACCAGCGTGTTGTTATAGGTCTTTTCAGAGTCAATTTTCTATCTTCTCCTGCAGTTGTTATGCAGCCCAGCTGCTAGGCAAGCTTCTTGAGATCAGCTGATCGGTTGATGATTCTATTGAAAAAGCTGTATAGTACTGACAAGATCGGTTGTTTGTCAGCTCTGTTTTTCGGAACCCGTCTTGTACTTCTTCACTGCCATTGGGTCCAAAGATATTATTTCCATAGTACATATGTACTTTGCCTTTTTCCGCTTCAACTTCTGGAGTCACGTTATATACCAACTGTGCTATAGTGCAGTTGATACAGAAAATCTTAATATGCAAGGTTCTAAATAGTTGTACGGAAACGGAAATTAGATGAACAAGGCTCTCGGACAACTCAGTTCAGGGTGCCCCCCTGGAAGCCCGATGGTTTGGGTGCCCCCGGCTCTTACCGGGTAGAGCTCATAGGAGTTACGCCACTGGATTATAGAAGGAGCTCATGATGGAGCAAGTTTGGCGGACCCAAGTTCACCTCAGCATTAACCCAACCCTAAAAAATTGGGGCATCCACCATCGTTTATCCTCACTCAAATTGCCGGGCAGAAGTTGGCGTAAAAACTGTAAAACGGCTCATTACCAACAACACAAGCCCCAATGGTAGCCTGGACATGGACAGTTTACAACGTGCCATACTTCAATACAGTAATACACCTGACCCTGAAACAAAGCTCTCTCCTGCACAATGTATATTTGGAAGACCAATGAAGGATTTCATTCCCATATATTGCCCAGGTGATACTAACCCCACCCCACGGCACCTGTCAAGACACGTTAGCTGCTTGTGAAGAAGCACTACGCAACAGACACATGCGGTCCGCTGAACCGAACATACCAAAAGATGCCCTCCACTCACCGTAGGTGACCATGTAAGAATTCAAAACCAGATTGGCCCTCACCCAACCAAATGGGATAAAACCGGATGAGTCACTGAAGTCCGCCAATTTGACCAGAATGTTGTATGTGTTGATGGCTCTGGAAGAATGACCATTTGTGTACTATTCCACTTCGTTTACCGCTAGATTGCCTTATTTTATTGCTTTTCTTTTTACTTTTTAAACACAAAACTACATAGCCCAATTATGTATAGTCCACATGCAACACAACTCCCGTGATGCTTTGCAATCACTTAAATTATGTTTCCACTTTTAGTTGCTTGCTTCCTTAAACTTCAAATGTCAAAACACTACATCCCTTCCTTTCTTTCTCAATTAAAGATTAACGCTAAATATAAATCATTAAATGTTCAAATTCTAAAAGTTCAAAGTAAACAATGTCAATGTTAGATCCATAACAGATATTCCTGTTCATTGTACTGTAATACCAAAATCGTCTCCACGACCTACTGGACTGTACAGAGTTTATTTTGTTTATTCTTTCAGTTTATTGGGTAGCCTAATGACACGTTTAGGTCTGCCATATTCTGTGACAGTGTCAGGTTTTTCACTTAAATCAACACTAACTTCTTCAATAGCACTTGTCAAATCCAATTCATCTGGTGAATTAAACGGTTTCACAAATGAACTGTCCCTTCGGTATACTTCTCCATCCTTTGATTGAAGCATAAGTTCATGTCCCTCCTTTGTCACCACTGTATATGGCTCGTTCTCGTAATTAGGAGCCAACTTTCCGGTTGTTTTAGTATTCTTTAACAAAACTTGATCACCAGGCGCTACTGAATTAGTAGAGGCTTTGTTCTTGTAATCAGCGTAAGCTTTCTGGTTCAGTTTCTGGCGCCAATCATGCTCTTTTATTGCTTGATTTAGGATGCTGTCTTGGCGCCTTAACTCAGGAAGTTTCGTCTTCAATTCTCTCCCGAACATCAAATATGCTGGTGTAGCTCCAGTGTTAACCTGTGGTGTGCTGCGATATGCTAAGAGGAATTTTGGTAATTCTTCTTGCCACTTCTTTCCTTCTGCTTTTGCTACTTTCAAGGTTTTCAAAAGTGTTCGATTTTGCCGCTCCACTTCTCCATTTGCCTGAGGCCATATAGTGGTGGGGATTTTCTATGTTCTATTCCATTTTCCCGCAGGTATCTTCGAAATTCTTCAGACACAAATTGAGGACCATTATCCGACTTTAGAGAATGTGGAAAACCAAATCTCGCAAAGATACAGTATCAGACTGGGCAGCAATCACCCTTTGAGTTGTTGTTGAGCGCATAACAACGACTTCATAGAACCTACTATAGTAATCCACCGTTACTAACAAACTTTCTCCTGTGGGCATCGGACCCATCAGGTCTATCGCAATGTCTTGCCAAGGCCCCATAGGTGGTTCGGTTCTCATCATAGGTTCTGGAACACTGAATTGTCCCACAACTTGGCATCCACGACACGATTTGCACATTTTCTCAGCATCAGCATCTAATTTTGGCCACCATACCTTTGTTCTCAAACGACTTTTTGTTTTTACGATGCCCTGGTGCCCCTCATGGGCGGACTTTAGGACTTTTTCTCGTAGACTTTGAGGTATTACAATTCTGTCTCCGCGAAGCACCAGCTTCCCAATCACACACAGTTCATTCTTTACACAAAGATAACTTGGCATCTTACAATGTGACCAGTCGCCCGTTTGAATATAGTGACGTACACTTGACAATTCCGGATCTTTATCCGACTCTCTTTCGATTTCTCTTGGTGTCAAGGCTACCGGTGTACTTCATGTACCACAAGCGGTATCACCTCCTCCGTTTCTCTACTAAGATCCTTAGGCTTTGGTTGATTCAGCCTCGACAACGCGTCTGCGATATTCGTGTTACCAGGGCGGTAGACAACGTTATAATGATGGCACTGTAAACGGAGGACCCAACGCTCAATCCTTGCTGATGGCTTCGACGACTTCCCAAAAATGCATTGTAACGGTTTATGGTCTGTTTCCAATTCAAATTCACGACCGTACACATAAAGGTTGAATCTTTCGCATGCCCAGACAAGAGCCAATGCCTCTTTTTCAGTCTGGGCATAGCGTCTCTCCACTTCGGTCAGATTCCTTGAAGCATACGAAACCGCTCTCCACTCTTCCCTTGCAGCTGCAGTAATACTGCTTCCAAACCTTCTGGACCTGCATCAGCTACAATCCTGGTTTTACACTCGTTCCGAAAATAAGCAAGGGCTTTACTTGTTGACATGAGCTGCTTAAGCTTCTCGAATGCTTTCTGTTGTTCAATTCCCCAAACAAAAGAGTGTCCCTTTCGCAGCATCTTGCGTAACGGTTCGGCTTCTTGGAAAAAATTAGGTATAAACTTGGATGAATATTGTACAAGCTGAACAAACGACCGAACTTCAGAAGTGTTCCTTGGTGCTCTCGCATTTACAACCTCTGCAATCTTTTCCTCGCTTAGTGTTACCCCCTGGTTGCTTAATTCGTGTCCGAAAAAAGTCAATTTAGGAAGTCTGAACTGGCACTTATCATCATTCAGGGTCATGCCGCTATCTCTTAAAATAAACGTTGGAGGACCGCATGCAAATTCCTATCATGCTCCTGAAGATCACATCCGTAGACAATCAAATCATCAGCAATATTAGCTACTCCATTACAACCCTGTATGACGTCAGATATAATCTTCTGGTACTTCTCGGGGGCAGATGTTATGCCAAACATCAGCCTCTTGTACTTGTATAACCCCCGATGGGTTACAAAGATCGTAATATCACGAGATTGTTCCTCTAGCTCAATCTGGTGAAACCCCCATTTCAAATCAAACTTGCTGAAAATGGTTGCACCATTGAGGTCATACAAAATTTCCTCAATTGTTGGAATGGGGTGTCTTTCCCGCGCTATCGCCTCATTCGCCTTACGCATATCGATACATACCCTCACATCACCGTCGGGTTTGGCACCACCACCAAAGGTGAGACCCACTCTGTTGGACTGTTCGGTACTTCCTCGATGATATCTTTCGCCAGCAAGTCATCCAATTTTTCATTCACTTTACCTCGCAAACCAAATGGAAGCCTTCGAACCCCTTGTGCCACTGGTTTTACATCCTTTTTAATTACAGTTTCAATTGATAATTTTTCAGCTTTCCCACCCAACAAATGTATCTGCATACTCCTTACGAATATCCGTATCACTTCCTTCCGTTGCAATTGAACAAACTTGAGCACCATTATTACTGTGAGCGCCCTTTATTACTTGAGCGCCCTTTATTACTGTGAACTCTTATTTCTCACCACTAGCCTTGCATACAATTTCAGCCACAAATGTCCCAGCAACTTCAATAGGTTCTTTCTGGCGATAGGCAAACAGCTTCTTCTCAGACTTTGTTGATTGGCAATCAATATTATTATTCTTCAAATTATATATTGTAACACGCAGAAAAATGCCCACGAATTCCACATTCATTGCACCTCTGATCTCTAGCTGGGCAGATAGTATCCCGAGCAAAATGACCCACACGGTTACAGTTGAAGCACCTTTGACCAGTTCCAGTTTTTTGACCAAATGTTCCCCTACCATATCGACCACTTGTGTTGTTTCCATGAACACCATCTTTGTTTCCTCTCTGGTTTTTCTTGCCAAACTGACCGACTGCATTTATTGACCGTCCTCTGATTGTTGTGAATCAGACTGCTCCAAAGATCTCATCTGAATTTCAACCGCTTCATGTGCTCTTGCAATATCCTGCAAATTTTTCAAACTTGCATTGATTTTCTCCAAAAACTTCCGACGAAGTTTAACATTTCTACATTTTTCAATAAGCTGGTCTCTTATTGTCTCGTCAACATCTGCAAACTCGCATGTGAGAGCTTTCTGTCTCAACCTACAAACAAATTGATCCACCGTCTCTCCTGCAACTCGACACATTTGCCTAAACAAGTGTCTCTCGAAAGGAACGTTCACTTTTGGCACAAAATAATTATCTAACACTTCAAAACTTTCCTTCAAGCCCTTTTCCTCATTCTCAGGTACCAATGTGTAATAAAATTCTTGAAAATCAGCGCCACCAGTATGCAACAGCAGTACGCGTGCTACCTTTTGCGAGTCCATTGTGATCCCCTGTGCCCGTAAATATAAGTTAAATGATCGCTTCCAACGTTTCCAACGAATAGACAGAGTATTCAGGTCATCCCTGGGGTTAAAGCAAGGAAGACCCTTAATTTCAGTTGCCTTAAATTGAGCCGATTCTTGGCTAGAACTTTGTTGACTAGCACTAGCTCCTGGCCCTTCGACGGCTTCGTTGTCCGACATATCCTTTCGAAAAAATCACACCAAACGTACACAAAATAACAGGAAACTCCTCACCGACACAGAAAAAATCGCCATCCTCGTCGCCAATGTACTATTCCACCTCGTGCTATTCCACCTATTCCACCATGCAACACAACTCCCGTGATGCTTTGCAATCACTTAAATGATGTTTCCACTTTTAGTTGATTGCTTCCTTAAACTTCAAATGTCAAAACACTACAATTTGTAACAGAAAACACACTCCCAACACACCATCACAGTCGACCTCCGATACAAACCAATTTCCCACCATCAAAGCCTCCCAATATATGTGCTGCACCCCTTGGACAATGCTGTTAACAGCATTTAACAACATTTAACAGCATTGTTGGACCCATCAATGCTGTCAAACATTGTTAACAACATTGTCCAAGGGGTGCAGCACAACATTGTTCTGTTTGTTCATGTCCCAAGCACCAACTCGAAATTCGTCATAAAAAAAAAAGATAAATTGGGAGGAAATATGAATTCCATAATTTCATCATAACTATCTATAATTGAAAAACATGTTTTCATCCTTGAGCCTATATTTTCATCAGTCGGCAATAAAATCCCACTTATTGGATCCTGGCCTATGGCCTTCCGGCCTATACGCTCTAAACGAGATTGCATGTATTCCGAAATAAGCTGTCCTGACTTTTGTCTGGTAAAGTTCTACTTCTCGTATTTGAACTATTACATATATTATATTGTGACATAGGTTTGTATTTAGCCACTATCTAGAATAACGAGAAACGATTCAACCTGGTTTTTCGTTCCCACACTAGTTGACTTGTTCTTATAAATTTGCTGCTGTGGCGCCTCATGCAGCTCCTCCACTAAGGTGCGTTTCAGCTTCTTAACCATGACCATACTGTTAACCCTGTCCATGAGAGAGATATACGTGTTTATAATATAAATACTGTGGATCCGAATGAGAATAAGTAAACAAATACTGATCTGCTGCACTGCGCAGATAATACCTAAGTACATTAAGGCAATTTTCCTTTGAACTTGCTTTGCCCACACGGGCGGATTACTCAACTTTCTATGTAGTTGTCTATCCTGTGCACTTTTTGTCCGTTTGAATGCTCGCGGACACGCCATGAAACTACATTGAAGTTGAACTACATTCAACTTTCTTGACGTGCCCGCGCGACTGATTTTTCATGTGATTAAAATTGGTCGCTCCGCCCGCGCGGGCAAATTAAGCAACCGCAATGGAAAATTGCCTTTAGGGAGCTGCTGGCATGGTCATCTATCTGATATTGACTTGTCCTTCGTTTACTTCCCAACCAAACTCGCTGATTTAAGGGGGTGACATAACTGTTTGGAGTGCACCTTTTCATATGCGGCATTGATATGATGTACGAGTTGTAGTAAGTAAAAGAACGTCATTCGTGCATGGCATGGTGTTCAATCAGATAGATAGATAGAGATAGAAGTAAACGAAAGGCAAGTCAATATCAAATGGATGCTGGCAATGGACCTTTCCCCTTATAACTAAAATCTCGATCTAGACAAAAATTTCATCACAGCTTGAAAGAGCATCACAAAATTAGTAATATTCCAAAGTTTTGTTGCAAAATCTTGTAAAATGCGGATAATACAGCCTTGCGAAGTTTGCCGTTTTTCAGTCATTTTGTATTACAAACGGGAAATTGACATCCGATTCGGGTGTTGGGGCTGCAATTTCCCGTTTGTAATGCAAAATGACTGAAAATTGCAAACTTCACAAGGCTCTATTTTCCTCATGTTACAACATTTCGCAACGAAACTTTGGAATATTACTAATTTTGTGACGCTCTTTCAAGCTGTGATGAAATATTTGTCTAGACTTGCCTAGATCAAAATTTTGGTTATAAGGGGAAAGGTCTATTACTGATGGAATTTTGGAAAACGTTACTGTTGTTGTAAGTCTTGATATTCACCAAGACGTTGTGCCTGTCAAAAAACTGAGAATAGAAGTGTACTGGTCTTTGTTCCGGTTGCGATTGCACAAATTCTCCCGACCAGAATACAGACGAGAACGATTTCTCAGATGATGATGGCCTATTATTCGAACTTGATGGCGATGACACTGGATTTGATGGCATATTTGAAGAACAATGTTGCATGATAATGCACTTAGGTATTATCTGCGCAGTGCAGCAGATCAGTATTTGCTCATGGTTGAGAAGCTGAAACGCACCCTGGCGGAGGAGCTGAAACGCATCCTGGCGCCGCAGCAGCAAATCTATAAGAAAAAGTCAACAATTCAGTAAGTGGGATTTTATTGCACTGATGAAAATCTGGGCTCAAGGATGAAAAACATGTCTTTCAATTATAAATAGTTATGATGAAATTATGGATTTTATATTTCCGCCCTATTTGTCTTTTTTTATGATGAATTTCGAGTTGATGCTTGGGACATGTTTCTTTCACAGTTAAAGGTCCTTCACTGGTGCAGTCCGGCTTCGTCGGTTGGAACAGATGGTTGGAAAAGATGGTGGGAACGAATGGAAATGTTGATCCAAATCCAAGATTGGTATCCATAGAATATACTTAAGCGATGGATGGAAGAAGCGCCAAACATATCTTGCATAGCCTGATAATACACAGAGGCGTCAGAAGGAGGGGGGGCGGCGCCCCCCCCCCCAAAAAAAATGGGAAACATTGTTGCGCAAAGATATTTGTCAGTATTTGTCTTACTAATGTTTCGGTATTTTATATTGGTTATTTGTCTTACCAGCGTCGCCAAACAGAGAAAGAGTGTTTCATCAAATGTTTCTAATTTGGTAGGAAATATTTTTGTTTTCCAGGAAGCAAATTTTGTTAATTCTGCAATAAAAGCCAATGTTTACAGATGTAGGAGACAGGGAAACATTGAGCAAACATTGAGCAAACATTGAAAATCACGAATATTTCCGCGACAATGTTTCTTACGTATGGCCAAGGCTTTAGTTTAAGCAAAATATTAAAAAATTTTCCTTGATCGTGTGAATCGTATGTATATTTATATACTCTCCGTCCTGTTTGATACAAGTGAGTTTTTACGTCGCACAAATTTGTATTGAATTAGGATGTTAATAAGTAGAATTAAACATTAAAACGGTATTTTGAAAGTGATTCAGTATATGAGCAAGCAAAATGTACAATGTATTTTAAACAATATTTAATGTGTGTGTATTTATTCGTTAATATTACAAAGGTTTGATCTTTATTCCGTGATTTTATTTTGATTTTTCGCGTCTGCGCGTGCGCAGTGCAAGTTTGGCTGACTTGCGCATGCATGTTTGCTACCAAAACAATGGCGGTTCAAATATTTCGAAGCGGGAAAATACGACTTTGGAGGGATTATTTTCGCAATTGTGCACCTGTTTCGCTTGAGGAGCAACGGATTCTGATAAAGTAAGTTTTTATCTATTGATTCATGTGAAAATTACGTAGTTACACGAGGGGTACAATGGAATTGCATCTTTTGGATGCTCATCCTACGGCCTACATGGAATGCACCCTGGTCTATATATTTACTATCAAATTTTCGAGCCATCCCCCCCCCCCGGACACCCCCGGGAATTTGCCCGATAGACAGTTCACAGGGGTTGGGAATTTGCCTTTCATATATGTGCACGGGGGCCGGGTATTGGCAGAAAACATAGTTTCAGGCACGCATGTGGGCACGCTGATCGTATTTTGCCCCCTCATGGTCAAGGTGGCGTGAAATTTATTGTAAGAATAAGCGAAAATTATACCCTGTGCCATGCAAATTTAAATACAACTATTAAAGGTTTATGTTTTATAATATTCCATAACAGTTTAATACTATAATGTTATTAAATGACTATGATTATATGCCATTAAAAGTTTAATTAACGTTTACAGTCGATTTCACGAAACTTTGACCACAAATTTTCCGAACTTCGTTGTGAAGTTCACAAGATTGTTGCGAAGTTCAAAAGTTCATAATGAGATTCACAAACCAGTTCGTAAACTACGCATTTGATTGGCTTCTTTTACTTCACAGACCAATCAGGGACTTTGTTTACAAATTGGCTTGTGAATTCCAATATGAGCTTCTGAACTTCGCAACGAACTTGCAAACTTCGCAGCGAAGTTCGGAACATTTGTGGTCAAAGTTTCGTGAAATCGACTGTAAAATCGTCCCCGGGGTGGGCATTTTCCACTCTCAGCTTGCCCAGGGGCCGTGCATTAGTCTTCAAGTTGTGTCCCGGCACCCGGGCATTTACACTATCATAACCAATCAAATCAAATGCCCGGGTGTGTTCCCGGGGGGGGATGGTTACTCCTGGAATTGACTCATGCATTAATTGCACTAGCTGACTATACAGTCTATACTCAGATTTGCATAAAGATAACATGTTATGTAACCTTCAAATATTCATAACAAATCTTGTAGTTTCTCGTGAGTATAGGTAATGTTTCGAGATTCCTAAGATTGTACTTGAAAAAACCTATAAATTAAGCCTCAAAAAGATGATGACTCAAAGACATTCAAAAATATTTTCCCACGGATTCCCACATTAAATTTCAAGCTAAAATGTTATTTATATGCAGCAACCACGAAACTAGTATTAAAATAACAAATAAAAATACTACTTGAAATTATTTTTCCAATCAAATCTATAAAATAACGCAAATTCCTACCTTTTAAAGCAAGAAGATGCTCTGTTGAACCCTCCATCTTGAAACTGAGCAGTGAGTATTTTTGAGCAGCGTTTGCTCGTCACAAAAAACAAATGACATTACTGAGCAGCTGGGAAATTTGTTGCGCATGCGCCAGATTTCCATTGAAACTTGAAGATTTCCCCGAAGAAATAACGAGATGTTCGTGGTTGTTGTATATTTTTGAATGCCTGTTTAATCTTTATAATTTTTTGCTCGAGACAAAGTAAAATGTACTCTACGTTTCCAGTGTATAGAATATCTCGTTTGTGTTTGAACAGCAGTAGAATATTATAAACTTGACACAAACAAGAAGACATTTGACACGCTATTAATTCTGCAGTCATGCCTGGCAATCGTCGCAAGCTTGACTGCCTTGTCAAAAGCAAAACAAGTACGAATTTGGGTTCAAACAGAAAGACGTTCAATGTTAATACCACTAACATATATTTAATAGAAATACGGGTGGTTTAAAATGTTTTCAATTGAATTTTTAAAGCTTTTATCTATCGACATGATAATCAAACTGTGAAAATGCCGGCTTTTGTTGACGCTTGCGAATGCAGAATAACTTCCCGTAAACAGAGCATTTCTACACAAAACTCTCGCTTAGTCTTCTAATGCACTTGTATGTTCGGTTCTATTAGTTAAACAAGGAAAATATCCAAGAAACTTGGTAAATTATCGTTGTTTAATATAAAAACATTTCAGTGCTGAGGCAGTACAAGGACTTAAGGCCAAGGGCAAGGTCAAGTTGTCGATTTCATTACATTTTCAGTAGTTCGAATGTTTTCGAACTCTTATCTCATACAAGAGCAGTAAACGCACGCATTTCAAAGCGAAATTAGACGCAAAGGGGCAATTTTTCAACAAAATTCATTGTTAAATTATGTTTCCTATGTGCCTTGGGAGCAAAAAAATATGATTTTAAATTTGGAGATTTCGGTAAATTTTTTTGCAATTTGGCCTGGTATTGCACCCTACCTATGTACTAACTGTGCTGTAAAAGTAATCAAATATACTATTTTTAATTTCCTTTCATTGAAAGGATCTACTATTGTGGACTAAACTAAATTTTAATCAGCATACAAGGCTGCAAACAACAGCCAAGAATTAGCTGGGTAGTTTGCAAACTTTAAAAATAATTGGACCTCAAACTTTGATCTCCAGAAGTAAACAAATAGACAATACTGCGAACATAATCCAAGTTTTGATCACGAGGGGCAATTTTTAGATGTAAAAAAACTTGTTTAAATTACATATCAAACTAAGACAAAACAAAATTTGGTATTAAATTTTTGGTGAAATCGTCAAAGTTTTTTGCTATCCGCCCACACTTCTACACCCCCTCTCCCAGGATATTCTACCTCAAAAAACAGTTTTCTGCAGAAACTATGCTTTTTTATCGGAAAAATGTTTACTTTTCTCAAAAAATACATTATAAACACGGAAACCTTAAATATTTAAATAATTTTCATACCTTTTTGGGATTGAAAAAAGCAAAATTTGATTCATTATCCCACTTTTTAAAATATATGTGATAAAGTTGCTTCAAAATCACCATCACGCAGTAGCATGTTTATTTACCCTCATCCTTTTGACTGAATAAAGTTTATCGTTTTGAAAAGCTATTTGTTTTATAGCTCTTGGTTACCGGTTTACGTTTATGTCGATTTTGGCACCCATGAGACCAACAAATTGTGGTAATCCGCGAATGAAAATGGACATTCGAAGAGCACAAAAGCCAACTCCTAGCTATGTAACTTTATCGCCTGAAGTTTGAATCAATCCAAAATTAAAATGCTGATAATGTAGATGCTTTCCATACTTGAGATGTTAGTGAAGTTTTTCCTACAATTTAATTTCCATGATCGCCGTCTTAAAAATGCAAAATCATCAGTTGAAATTCCACTCGTGTTGTTTTTTCAAATTTTCGAATTTTTGTAAAATATCGCGTGCGCCAGCAATTTCTCTGCACAGCGACAACAAATTTCCCAGCTGCTACATTACTGTTCATTACGGTACTTTAGATTTCTGGGCATTTGTGTATAAAGTTTATTTATATGGCTGAAATAAACAGTAATCCTAGAATCAAGAAAACAATAAGTAATGGGGTAAGTATTGAACTATAATTTTGTTTTTTAATTAATTTGTACATTTCACAGTTGTTCATGTTGAGAGGTTCATATCATTTCAATATTTCATCATTCTGCCATTTCATCAAATGTTTGGTACAAAAACATGTGGGTTGTTATTATCTCTATCTGTCGCCGTCGACAAATAGATTTCATCACACTTAACGGCAAGTTGGCTGTTAAGGTCGCAACACCCTCCCCCTTATGCGTGAATCAAATCGAAACCTTGACATCCCCCCGGCATACCCCTGGGAATTTGGATTTTAACGTTTTGGTCAGGTTGAATTCCCTACATATATTTGTAATTCCCGTTCAAATACACGACGTATTGGGAAAAATTGGAGTTTGTATACCCTACCCAGGGCTGCCAACTCTCCCGGATTATCCGGGAGTTTCTAGATTTTGGACCTAATCTCCCAGTCTCCAGATTTTGTCTTAATTCTCCCGGATTAGGATAATCACCAACGTCGATTTATGCACTAGCCATTTGATTCTTCGTTGTCAAAGGTTTTAACAATAAAAATTATTTGCGTTGCACATTAAAACTTCGTTTTGCTGGAAAAATAAAATTCTTTCGTTGCTGCCTGCGTTGCTTTTAATCAGCGGTTGAATGGCACCATTTTCCGTATAAACACTTCATCTTACAGGGATTTTTTTACTCGTATTGACGCCATTAAAGATGTCAATATTTTATTAAACTAGTACATAATATGTGAAACTTGAAATCAACAGTTATTTGTGTTGATAATGAAGTTGGACAATAAACCAGTGTATATATCTATATACCAGCAGGTATTTACAACTGCATAGTTGGCTTTTCGATAATGACGTCATTTCCGACATGACGTCATCGATCTCAATGGAATATCAATTCTCCAGATTTGAAAACTTCCAGGGTTGGCAGCCCTGCCCACCCCATGTACAAATTGGAAGCTGCAGCATTTCGTAATTTTGGATTTACAAAGTTTTTCTTTCCTTGAGAAACTCTCTTCATTCGTTCAAAGCCGTTTTTGTGTAGCCAACCAAGGACAAAGTTAATTTCTTTGCACTTGAACTCATCCATTGACGCCATTTTGGATTCAGCACATGTGTTTAAAAGAAAAATTTTTATTGAAATTCCCGACCCCGTAAACAAATTCCCCACCTTTCACTAGAAAAAATAAAGGGTCAAATTCCCGCTTTCTTAAAATACTAAACAAGCAAATTCCCCAGGTATGCCGGGGAGGGGGGATGTCAAGGTTTCGATTTGATTCAACACAATAGTGGCAATTAAGCTCCAAATAATGAAGAAAACCAAACTAGATATATTCTTAATAGAGACAGAGTAAAATAATAAAGTAGGGCGCAATGCGACTCAATGGGTTAACTAGACACATACTAGGCAGATAGACTAGTTAACCCATTAAGTGCCAGCACTCTCCCCCTTGACAAATAAAATTGTCTGGCATTAGGCAGAGTAAAATAATAAAGGGAAACGACAAAATGCGGACCCCAGGTCCATGGACTACCTTTGTGGACCAGGTCCATGGACTACACTTGTGGACCACTTTTACGGACAATTTTCGTGGACCGCTCGCGAAACACCGGATTTTGGTAGTTTGCATGATTGAATTCTTGACTGTGCATGGAAAAATGTGCATGAGTTGAGTTCCGTCATTAGACATGATCGTGGAAACTCAATGTGAAGTTCTAAATCCATTCACTATATATGACCGTTTTAAAATATAAGCTGTACAATTACGACTTTGATGAAAAGTTTCCAAATATATCCCAGTAAATTGGTAGATTTTTCTTTTTGAGCGCTACCGATAAAGCAAGAAAAGCAGTAATCGAGCTTCAAATAAAATAAATATTTTTGGCAAAGGACCTCCAGACATTGAACATCATTGCAATTTACAACTTCTACAGACTGTACAGTTCAAGTAATTTTTTTAACATTAAAATTCAAATAATTCAGTAAAATCCTTCCAATATCGGATTCTCCATAATATTCCTATATTTTTTCATGAACCAAATTTTTTCAGATTTTTACTTAACTGTACATCAACGAAAACTGAATTGATTGTGAAATAAATAACGGAAATGAATAATGAAATTGTGTTGCACTTCAAATGATTGTGGTACCCTCAAATCTCGGGTTCCTAAACTTGGGTTAATAGTGCTCGGTCCATTGTCTGGTCGGCAAAATTTTGCGCATGATCCACGAGTGTAGTCCACGGACCAGGTCTACGAACTGCCAAGGTAGTCCGCGGACCTGGGGTCTGCGTTTTGTCATTTCCCAATTAATAATAAAGTACTGGTGCATCAGGGCACAATGTGACTCAGTGGGTTAACTAGAAACATCGGCAACCTTGGGGAATAAACAACATTTTGTACACAGTTCAATGTATACTGAAACCACTTTTTAACTTGTAGTCAAATTACAGTGTCTTATTAAATGCCCATAGAATTGGTTTTAGCAAAGTTTCCAAAGTATTTTGTGAAGAAAAGTTGAGGTGAATTTTCATAACATAAAAGTAATTTTACCAGCATTGAGTGATTGACCACAACCCCCTCCCATTAGCGCCTACCAACTTGCCATGAAGCAAGTTGAAACCTATTTGTTAACAGTCCCTAAGTACTGGTTAATTACACCTAAGTACTGGTGTAATTATAACAAAGTCAACTGTAGAAAGTAAAGTGATACATGATGTTTTTGTATGTTGGATGTATACATGTCATGATAACCGTATTGGTGTCGATTAAATTAATATATAGCTTTAAATTCCCCCCAAGAGTCTCTATAATTAATAACTTGTATCACATATTTAGTCATATCACATATAGTACGACCTGTCGACTGCAGGCATTGTTTATATTCAATGTTCCTATTGACTTATCAAAATTATAAACCAATTAAAATCTTTCCTCCTTACCACAGAAAGATCAAGATTCAAGGGAAACATTTCCTGCTTTTATAGTATAAATGATAATCTTCTTTAATATTTGGATAATAATGACAGAATCTCCAAAACTCAAAATCCTCCCGGGGAGTATTTCTACACTTTTTGACTGCTAATTAGCAGCTTTTAATGCACAAGTTACCCTAACCTCGAACACTTAAAGTTGACCTCAAAATACGATTTGAAGTTTGCTGTTTGCGGTTTATAGTGGTCTGCCGTAAACGTCAATCTTAAATCTGTATTGAACGCATTGCGATCTTCATCCGTCTCAGTTCAAATACGTCCTTTTTGCCTTCCAAGGTTTTAGAATGTGGCGTGTGTGAAGATTTATTTGCATTTCACGGTGAGAAAGTTCCTCGTCTTTTGCTGTGTGGTCATACACTATGCCACGAGTGTCTAACCAAACTCCCGTTACGAAACCGGACTGTAGTTTGCCCTTTTGATCGACAGAAAACTGAACTTAGTGATTCTGGTGTATGGGGACTGAAGAAAAATTTTGCGTTGTTGGAACTACTTGAACGACTGAAGGTCACCCACACACCTTTAGTTAATAATTTTGAAGAAGACGAAAATAAAGTTACATGTGATGAAAACGAAGAGCATTTAGCCGCGGTTTATTGCACTGTATGTGGAACAAACTTATGTAGCTCATGTAGTGAGATTACTCATGCTACTAAGACTTTGAACAAACATAAACGGGTACCATTATCTGAAAAACCCTCAGAGAAAGCTGTGTGTTCTGAACATCATGCAAGAATCATCGAGTTTGCATGCGCGGAAGATGGTTGTCGGAATAATCCATTAATGTGTGTCTTGTGTAAAGATTATGGCAAACATAAAGGACATAAACATCATTTGGTTATAACTGAAGCAGAGAATGTGAGATCTTCTATATCCAATGCTATCCAACATATCAAGTTATTCAGTGAAGATATTGCTAAAGCCACGCAGAAAATTGAAACAGTGATACAAAAAATTGAAGGTTAGTTGAAAGGACATACTAAAGATACAGTTATGCATCTTGTGCATCTAATCACGAAAAGTACAGTTCCGTTTGCGAAATTCTGTACAGCTCTGACAACTAGACCCCTCCCCGTTTATAAACCCAGCTGTTCTTTATTCCTCACATATGTAATAAACATTCAAAAACTCATTAATAATTTAGGAGGAAAACACAAAGAAAAATCGTAAGCGTGTCGTGGTTTTATATGTGATAAAAATCATGTTAATTTACATAAACTTTAGCTTTGATTTTTTCGTTTTAGACAAAGTTTATTTTAAAAATTACTTCGCCAATGAACTCGTATAAGATGAGTCGTTTTTGAAGCCATTTAAAGCACTTGTAGTCGTGTTTTATCACATAAAACACTCCGCTACGCGTCGTGTTTTATATGTGATAAAACACTCCTACGCGTGCTTTAAATAGTACTTAAAATACATGTCCAGGCATGCTGCCTTTTCATTTTTACCTATACCAAGGAAAGTGAATGTAAGTCAAATATTGAGTCAAGCTTATATAATTTATATATAAATCCTGCTGTTAAGGCTACACTGATAGGAACAAGCAAATTCAATTGAACTCTCCTGGGGGGTTTGTATTTCCTTTTCTGTAAAGAATTGGCATTTTCTCACTCTGATATTCAACTGTCGATGTTGTTCATCTGTTGTTGAGATGAAATCCACTCACTGTTAGATTGGCTTATGTCCTGCTCGTATATGTAGCTCTTAATATTAACCCATCCTTAATCATAAGTTATAAATAAAAGGAAACCCTCCCTACAGGCTCTGTGGTAGTCGAAGATGACGATGAAGGTCAGTCTCACTCACGTCGTGTGATCGGCACTGGAGATATGGCGCGAGGAAGAGTACGTGATTACTTTAATGATTTACGTGAAACTGTTAACAGACAGGAAGAGGCTGGTCTCGCTGTGGTTGATAGTTATCTACGTGATCAGTTGTCATGGTTACGGCAGAGGCAAGAAGATATGGTTGTTCTAAATTCCCATACATCAGCAGTATGTTTACATTGTGAGAAAACACTCAAGTCTGATGATAGTCAAGTAAGCACGTCTCTAATTCTCACTAGTAGTAATACATTTCTAATTGTGGTCAAATTATGAAGATACATAGTTTACCATGCTACTCACCTTTCAAAATTCGGCATTTTTTTATGCAAGAACGCAGTTTTAGGAATGTACTCAGCAACACTTTTTGAAACGCTAACACAGAATATGGTTACCTCTGAGCAATACTCTAAGGGAAGCACTTGTGTAAATGTTTGTTACTATTTAAATGTCGTAATTGTAAACGGTTGTCACATCCTAATTCTAGGCTCATTGACATTAAAGAAATACCAAGTGGTTTTCCGTGCAGGATAGCGTCATCCATGCACACTCGCCTGTGACTCGTGTATTTTTACGCTTTCCGAAAGTCTCGCAACATCCTGGGGCTGGTTGTATAAAAAAGTGATTAAAGTTAACTATAGTTAGTGGAAACGTCATCCAATAAGAAGCGCGTATTTGAGAGTTAATCACTATTTAACTACAAAATAGTGATTAAAAAAGTGATTAAGAGTTTTATACAATCTGCACCTGCATGCTATCCTGCACGGAAAACCATTTGGTAATTGTTTTATAAATAACTACAGTTATATATTATATGTTTGTTACCGGACTGCAGCTTGGCAGGGCCAAAAAAAAAAAATATGTGGGTTTCCGGTTTCTTCTTATAAAAACTTAGGTAGGGTAGGTTTTAACTTTTTTTTTTAAACTTTTTTTTTATTTTTCCGAACAAGCGGACGCCATTTTGTTTAGTCAGTGCTTCCACATCCAAAGATAAATTTCCCTAATATTTGCCACAAATTTCAATTTTCCACAAACTTTTTCCTCTAAGTGGAAACACTTACAAGCATGATCCAATAAAAAAGTTTAGGGTCGGGATTTCGACGTCCAAAAGCTAGGTAGGGTCGGGAAACCGGAAACCCACAAATTTTTTTTTTTGGCCCAGTTGAAAGTTTGTGAAAAATAAATCTACGACCAGAGTCAGGGAATGTCCAATGAATAGTAAAATTTAAAATTGTGCTCTTTAGATTTTGCATTTTTCCCGAACAGAGTTACTGGTCGGTTTTGTCGATGTGGTTTTTTTGGTACATACAATTAAAAATTTCTCCCTGTTATATTTTTTATACTAACCACATTAACCACAGGCAATAAATGAAAACTGCCAGGAAGAGTTGATTTTAGTTAGGTCTATATATGTATACTAAAATACGTATTTTGAATTGAGTGTATTTTGAAAGAAATTATCGCGATGTGCTTTTCTTGTGCCTTGTTGTGTTCTTTGCGGTGCGCCGGTGCATGGGTTCAAAAACAAACAGCGCAGCGAGTTTACTTAAAAAAATGAAAATGTGACGGCAAACGTTGTGATATAAGGGTACGGCAAGAAGCATTAGCCGATTAGGTCAACGACACTAAGTTTGTTTTTTGGTAATAATAAATTGATGTGTTTGTTGCTGGACAAAGCTGCTTACATGCCGACACCGTTCTCCGTTTCATTTATGTACGAATTTTTAAATAAACATATTTCCATAAAAGAACTTATAATTTAACCGAGAGCATACAGAATTAGTTCATTATTTCAGTTGAGCTGCACTAAATGCTCGTAATTAAAAGACGATCCATAAAATGATGCATGAAAGATTTGCTTTACCAAAACAAACTGCAACATATATATATATATCCAAAAAACTCGGAAAGTAGAATAATCAAAGGATTAATACATTTCTGGTACACTATCTGAATCGTATATAACTATTGTTGTTCCTGTATATTCGGATCGAATATCCTGTAGTTGTATATAATTCTAACCTTAATCTGAACCCCACTGGCTGCTCATTTTGATGTCATTTCGGGATAGTAATGCAGTTAACTCCTTTCCATTCTCTAGGTTGTTGCCTCGCGTTCAGACATTCTCAAAGTTTTACAAACTGTGCAAGAACAACAGCAACAATTCCTAGAAACTGCAGAATTGTGCTCGTCGGATGGCAGTATCCCCATTGCTTTCACTAAAGATAATCGTGTTCATATTGGACCTAAGATGGAGATGAGAGTTGTTGCCTTGGGGTTAGATGGAGCTGGGAAAACCTCAATACTTTTCAAGCTCAAACAAGACGAGTTTGTTTCAACCATAACAACAATTGGTAAGCGCCTCAGCGGATAAATTTGCGTCTGATTGAGATACTGTAAGCACATAGTGAAGTAGATTGAGAAGAAATTCATGTGTGAATTAAACAAGACGAGTTTCAGAGCAATCGCGATGATTCTGTCTACTTAAAATCTAACTTTGTCGCCTACATAGGCGTATGGGCCGGGGGGGGCACCTGCCCCCCCCCCAAAGTTTTTACGGTCGGGCAAAAATCAATGCGACATTCGGGCAAAACATAAAAATTTCGGAAAAATTTTGATGTCCTGAAAAAATTTTTGTATCTTTGCGAAAATTACGTGATGTTAGGGAAAATTTTCTGATATGTGCGGCAAAATTCTCGTATGTTTGTAGAAAAGTATTTGGTATGTCCGGAAAATGTTTTTGGTATGTCCGGAAAAATTTTTTTGGTGACCCCCCCCCCGCTCGCCAACAATTTTGGGGAGAAATATTAATGTTCAGTTTGCCTGTTCGGGTAAACTATACTGTACCCCCCCACCCCCAAAAAAGATTAGGCCCATACGCCCATGGTCGTCTATGGGTGGTCGTCTATGGGTGTAACCTTATAATCTTTATATGATCTTGTAGGATTTAATGTAGAAACAATTGAACACAAGAATTTAAAGTTTACAATTTGGGATGTTGGTGGATTGCACAAACTGCGACCGTTATGGAGACATTATTATCTTAATACGCAAGGTAACGCCAGAACATTAGGAAGTGGCAACAGAATGATCTATTATCATAATGGCCAACAATACACTAGCTGAATAACACAGCAGCATTGATTATACAACCATGGAAGTATTAGTAGGCTATAAATTTAATTGAAATGTAATTTATAGATATGAAAGTAAAGGCAAAAATTAAAGTTGAGATTCGCAGCAACAATAGAGAGGTTCAGATTTAACTTTTACTACCTTTCACTGACTTACTACGCATCTGATTGGTTAATCGGACATATCAAATGTATCTGCTTGGTTGGTCCCTTAATGGTAGCAGTAGCGAAAGTCAAATCTGAACTAGCCCCCAATGCAGTATTTCACGTAGTGTCCGCCACTGTTAAAATGCGTGTGTATGTATTTTGTGAGTCATGTATTTTTGCAGCTATAATATTTGTGGTGGATAGCAACAACAAAGAACGCATGGAAGAGTCTCATGCTGAGTTGGTGAAATTGATGACTGAGAAGAGATTGAGCGATGCTCTTTTACTGGTGTATGCCAACAAACAGGTAATGGCTTGTGATACGCCGAGTAGCCCTTCGCTCAATAAACCAAGTATCTCTTTAAGCCGGTTTTCCACTAGGCGGAATTTTGCGCGCGGAGCGGAATTCCCTTTGTCTTTTCTAATTAGTTCCACCCGAGAAATCACAAGACAAAGAAAAATTCCGCTCCGCGCGCAAAATTCCGCCTAGTGGAAAACCGGCTTTACTGATGAAGAGCCTATATATAGGTCGCTGACATATGTTTCAACACAACGTTTGTATTTTCAGGATCTACCAACGGCGTTAAATCTTGATCAAATCACAGAACGTCTTTGTTTACATAAATTATGCTGTGGTCGAAGCTGGACTGTGATTGGTTGTGATGCACATAGTGGGCGTGGTCTTCGCGAGGGACTGGACTGGCTTGCAACACAACTTATGTCTGAGTTTCCTCCATAACATTAACGTAGTCACAGAATGACTTATTGCTTGAGCAAACTATAGGCAACATTGTTCCGAATACATCCGAAAATCGTAAAGCCTGCCGCACACGAGAGAAACTTGCTAACCGCCTCGCGTGGTAGCTAGCTCGACTTAATGCTATGCATTTTCACCGCACAAGTTGGGAAAACTACCCAACAACAACATAATTGACAAATTCGTTTGCATTTTCCTTCATTGTGTTCCAAGTCACATGAATAAACTATGGTTTCTCATTGGCTAATTGATTCAAGCAGCTCAGCACTAAGCTCGTGACATCCGCAGACGTTGAGATTTTTCCCTCGCGAGGTGAAAAATATCAAACACGATAGATATTTTCCTCAAGGCCTCGAGAGGTCAAATCCCCACTATCCACACACGAGAGAAACTTGCCGAGCTAGCTGCCACGCGAGGCGGTTAGCTCAACAAATTTCTATCGTGTGCGGCAGGCTTAAGGTTTCATCATAGGAGCCCAAAAATGCGTGTGGAATGCACGCGCGCCGCAAGCACTAATGAAAAAGCATTATTCTGTATACAAAAACAGTGCTTTTCATTGAGTGCTTGGCGCGCGTGCATTCTACACGCATTTTTGGGCTGCCTATGATTTCATCAAATGTTTCCCATCAAGTTAAGAAACATTTTGTTCCACAAGTGTATTGCAAATAATTTATTTCTGTACAAACATTTTTTCTGGCATGTGTCTAGTCAGTGGCTTGCCCATGCAACTGTGGGAAACATGAATAGCAAACAATGTTTCCGCAACAATGTTCCCTAGTTCCCCGTGGGCCCTAATATCCAAAAGACAAAGTTTTGTTCGAGCGACCATTGCAAAGCTTCATGACTACTGATGAACTATTATGTTCTCCTTTGTTGTCGTATAAACTAAGCAATTACAGCATGCTAATCGCCCTTTGTATACTGTACGACGGCAAGGTCACTGAAGAATTGAACTAGAGGGGCCGGTTGTTCAAAACTGGGTTAGTTTAACCCTTGGTTAACCTAAAATTCGAAGCAAACTTCCTGACAGCTTGTCTACAAATTTAGAAATATTTCTTCAGAGATCTTGTCTGGATCGATAGGAGTTTACTTCTCTGAAGTTTCGAAATACACAGATGTGCAGAAATACACGAACTAAAACAGCAGGTTAAATTTTAACCCAGGGTTAGCGTTAACCCACCTTTGAACAACCGGCCCCAGTAGATTAGCGATTTAAACTGTACTATAAAAACCACTACAGGTATAAAGTAATCTATTTTGTTCCATACGGGCTGTTTGCATCCAGAACTTTAGTCTTTAGTTCAGTTTTCACAGCACTTGACACCTTGCCAGAACTACTTGTGCTTGAACGTTGTGAAGAGGAATGACGTCCTATGTTAAATATTTACAAATGTAATATCAATTCTCTGAAATACACACTAGATTCCGAATGCTTGAAACCCAACGATTTTTTTTTACATGATCCCACTTTGCCGGGACACGATGAAAACGGATGTACATGTAGTATTGAAATACGTTTAAAGGTATAGGCAGGCCTCGAAATAAGTGCCGGTCACCGGTCACTGACCGATAAAATTTCACAGTTTGTTCGGCAAATACCGTCCCTGGCGGACATGCGTGACCGGTAAATTTTTTAATAAAAAAGTACGTTCAAAAATGGAGCAGATTTTTTATTTCTAATTTTCCAAAGAAGTGTATGTCCGTCTACGGTGCAGGCTAATAAGGGCGGCGAAGTGACACATTTTGTCATACAGATATACGATATACCGCAAGCATTGTGCCTAAGGGCGTTTTCCAGAAATACGCGTTTTTCACACGTGCGACGGAAAAGTTTAAATCGTTTAAATTTTATATAAGTGCAAATAACCTTGACAAATACACATTAAATCATACACAAAACTGAATGCTGTCGTTTTATAAATTTAGTTATTTCATGAGTAGGATGTAAAGCAATTTCAACTTTTACGTGCGTGTACGCACGTATGAAAAACACGTAACTGGAATGCAGCCTAAAGCATGCTCGCAACTCAAACTACAGTTGTCATTTGCGACTTAATATATTAATTTGATAGTAAACAATGTTAATGTTAATAGTAATGATTACTACTACCTCTACAGCTTTGATAATCGCCTTGATAACGATATTACTTTGTATACAAATACAATTAAAATACACAATTGGTTCTAAAGTTACGAATCACGCGAAAGATGAGGGGAGAAAAGAAGCTAAGGAGTGACAATGACCGGCATAAATTCCGCTGTGACGGGTAAATTTAGTGACCACCGGTCATAATGACCGGTATAACATCCAGATTTATTTCGAGGCCTGGGTATAGGTGAAAAGTAAAACAGTTTACATTTGTTTACAATTATATAGCAGTGTGAATAATGTAACTCTGCTGAACCCTGGCTTATTTCAGTACATCAAATCATCACGCCTTCCAGCCCATCTAACAAAGCGCGGTCATGTAGTCCCTTAGCAACTAAAACTGAGTATGACTTCAGCTATTTCTTAGGGTCTTGTATATTGAGAATAGTCAGAACGTACAACAGAAAAGTCAAGTGATGTACAAAGAACTGAGCTTTTTTCTAAAATGTTGTTAGTTCTTTTCCTCCACACCATGAAAAACCCAGATTCGCTGAAATGAAATGTTACTTATTTAAATATTACTCATTATATGCACCTGCTGTTAGTAAAATAAATATATTACAATAAAAAACTCCGCATTTGATACCTTGAGATGAAGATTTATGAGATGAACTGCCTGATGATGAACTCGAAGATAACCCTGTGGAGTAATAATAGTATGAAAATGTTGGCGCTTTATAAGTTTATCTTTAGAAATATAAAGCCACATTCGTTTACATGCACGAGGCCGGGAAAAATGGACTGACTTAGAAACGGGATTAAAATTCGCAGGAATTAGCATTTTGAATTTATATGGTTCGTTGCTACTATCCAGATGATCTTGATACGCGGAAAAGTACTGGCACTAGTTGTCAAATAGAAATCCATTTTATGATTAAAACAACTGAATATCTCCTGTAATATACTTTATTTCGATTCCATATTTTTGTCAGAGCTATAGTTCTCATAACCAAACATAATTACAAAATTTCAACTAGTTTCATAAAGAATAACGAAAGATATAATTGACTGAATACATCGAAATGGATTTCTATTCGGACAACCCTTTCTGAGCGCTGATTGGCTAAAATACGAACACGAGATCACCTGGATTGTTGTTGCTTGTTGTTGTTACTTGTTGTTGTGGTTGCCGTTGTTGTTGTTTTTAGTTGTGGCGTCAAGAGGGGATGTTAAATTTTGTTCTTGAGAGAAGGATCTCTAGCTCCGGTAAAGAAAGCAATATACTCACTAACCTTTTCCATATGTTATGGCACCGACAAGTTTTGGTACGTCTGCGTTTATATTGGTTGACGATTTGGAAGCTGATAAGAGAGAAATACCGGGAAGAGAATATTCTGTTACTAAAGTAAAGTATTCGCCAAATAGAAAACAGTCATGATTTGAAAAGGGTTGGGGATTTTCTTAGGTTGGGTAATTTCCTGTGTTTGAAAAACTGATGTATGTAGAGTTTGGTTGGTCCTCTCTTCAGCTTCGACGTTTTTTCTCCGGCTTTCCTCCCTTACCAAAACTATTTTTATTAGAATTTAGTTGCCAAGCACGTGTATCATGAACCTCTGGCTGGGGTGAATTGGGCCTACCATACCCTGTGTAATCATTATCATTTGATTAAATCATTATCCAGGGTTCGTATGCCCCCTGGAAATCCTGGATTTTTATTTTAGTCCTGAAAAACCCTTGAAAATCCTGGAATTTCAAATTTATCCCTGGAAAACCCTGGAAAACTGAGAAATTGAGCTGGGTATAGGATCATACCTAAACTATTTAAGACTATCTTAAAAAGAAAGATTGAACAAAAGGTTCTTGCATTATATATAGTCAAACTATGAATATATTTCGTTCAAACTGGTACAAACCCAAAAGTATCTGTGTAAGATGAAGTACTAGCCGTCGCGAACGTTTCTTATCCGTTAAACACTTATAGATTTATATTTCAAATGCCCCTGGAAAACCCCTGGAAAAAGGATGAAAAAAGTCCTGGAAAATCCGGGATTTTTTAAATTATGAAGGTGTACGAACCCTGATTATCAATCACGGGAGGAATGATCGCGAGTTACTAACCTGATGATTGATCAGTTTCCCACTCATCTCGTGCTGTTCCAATCATCTCAACCAGGTTCGAAAGAGTTGCATTAAAATCAGCAATTTGTCTCTGAAATGGACGGCAAATAACAAGTTATGTTGAGTCTCAAGTAGCGTCAGACCATGCAGTCATCTGGTGGTTAAGGGTTAAATCACCGCCCGTGTGGAAATTGATTTTCCATTTTGTTCTCATCTTTTGATTTCCAATTATTTTCACTTCTGTTGTAATATCATCTTTTTAAATTACGTTTTTCAGAGTGTACAATGCTTTTGTCCTCTTCAAATATTCAACAGAGTACAGACTTCAAAGATCAATACCTGTGTTGATTCACTGGACATATTTGATGCCGTGGCTGAAAGAATACTTTCTTTATCTTCCACTTCCGGTTCATATTTTGTCCTCAGATGATCAGGTACTGGAGAAAAATACAACATGAAGTTTTTGATTTGTTAAAATAAGACCTCCTTAAATAGCAGCAAAATGTAGTGTACCGCCTAAAACACAATCCAGATTTCTTATTTTGTTATAAGCTGGTTTATTTTAGTTTTAACCGTTTTAAAAGAAGTATGCTGCTTTATTTTGTATTCATTTTGTAAACGTATAAAGATAATTAAGAGGCAATTTTTTCAATGTCACGTATTTGCAATGAAAAAGTGTTCAAAACCTAAAATCGTTTTGGCGTTCCTTTCAAAATTACTTTCTTTTAGCTTTATTCTCTAGTTTATACAGTTAGCAACATTTTTAAATGCATCTGCCGGTTGAGAAACATAAAATAATAGTCAAAAATAGTCAATTAAAATATAATTATCAATGATGCTTTAAAATTGACGCCATGTTTACAGCCATATAAACCAAACTTACTGAACTTCACTCTTCAGACGTCATTTTCTCTTTGGCGTATCATCTAAAATCTTTTCATTTTAGTATTATTTTACAGATAAAGCACTAAACATACTTTTTAAGTTTGTTTGCCGATTGAGAAACGTATTGAAAATAAAATTTTTGAATTTAGTCATAACCTCAAGTGGTATATTATACGAATTAGTTTTGAGCGCGTGTTACGTAACATAAAAAAAAATCTCCTCTTAAACAAATTTCCATAAACATGTAACATAATTATTCATATACAGTATGTGCAGTAGTATGTATTATATATTCATGCATGTCATATTATTCCCACTCACCAACTTCGTGATTAAAAGCCTGTATACGACCTTCTGTTGATTTCTAAAATAGTAATATGTAATTATGTTATTATTTTGGGTGAACAAAAGTAACTATAATCCAGTTCAAACGAGGATGAGAGGTGTCGATTGGGGTTGCACCTCTCCCCTGCGTTTGACCGTCAACGCCAAACTCTTATTGATCTAGACCTAATTCACTTTCATAGCCTTTCATCAACTCCAACCAACTTTAACCTGGTTCAAATTTTCATGAACTTTTTGCTCGTTTGAGCGCTAGGCGCAGTAACATGTAATCAACTCTAGTGCAACTCTTGTCCTCGTTCACCAGAGCATGCAAATTGAGAAAACTCTCATGCATACTATAACTTCCAGAAATGTTGACTTTTATCAACTTTCATCCTCGTTTGACCAGGGCTTTATCATTCGATATAGGGTTATCTGTAAACTGAATTAAATAATGGTAACTATAGTCTATATGCATATGATACTTTTTGTATGTGTTAGTATTATGTACTCAGCCCGTCTCAGGTGAGATTATATGTTTGTGGTGTTACTCTGAGTCTGCATCCACACCGGGCAAGCTGAAAAGTTTCCCTGACCATGGTGGGAATCGAGCCCGCGACCTTTGAGATACTAGCCCAATGCTCTGCCAACTGAGCTGCAAGGTCAAGTCGGTTCGAGTTGGTTATATTTCGGAACTGAGTCTTGTTCCTTCGATATCAATGTATTGTAAGACATGATACTTAGAATATACATTGACATCGAAGGAACTAGACTCAGTTCCGAAATATCACCAACCCGAACCGACTTGACCTCGCAGCTCAGTTGGCAGAGCATTGGACTTGTATCCCAAAGGTCGCGGATTCGATTCCCACCGAAACTTTTCAGCTTGCCCGGTGTGGATGCACACTCAGAGTAACACCACAAACATCATATACGCATATGAATTATCAAAGTTCTGAAATTTCAATCACGTGATATTTTAGCATAATTTGACTCACGTGGGAGTGAATCATTGAACTGAGGTCAACTAAAACAACAAAGAAATAAAATGACTGTGTAATGCATCTTATGTAAATTAGTTCTCCCACTACACACGTAAAAATCTCACAACTTGTCAACAAGATGTGTTCGCAACAGACTTGTAGCAAGCTTGTCAACAATTTGTAACAATGCTGTTATTTTATCAAGTTGCTACAAGTTTGTCACTCACACCTTGTTGACAAATCGTTGAAATGCAGGACGATAACAAGTTGTTGGAACAACTTGTAACAAGTCTGTTGAACTCAACAACCTCGTAGCAAGTTGTCAACAAGCCGTTGACAACTTGTCAACAAGCTGGGAACAAGCAGTGCGAACACATCCTGTCGACAAGTTGTTGGAACAGCATTGCTACAAGTCTGCTGCTGGTGTGTTACAACTTGGGCGTTTTTACGTGTGTATTATAAAAGCAATTATAAAACAATAGAAACAGTATAAAAGCCGCCATCCTTTACTCTTCACACAGAGCTTTGACCCCCCACGTGACGTCATATGAAACCCGAGAATAAACAAACGTTATCTTGCTCGTAACAATATAAATAAAGTGGAGCAAATTTTTACTACATACTGTATATACATACCTGCAAGTCAGCGTCCGGTTCTTGTTGAACCACCAGAGGTAAGAGAACGAGGTTGCGAAGGACTGGTGTTCTATCATTCTTTATCACTTTAAATAATGTGCTGACCTGACCTAAGGCAAATGATCTTCTTCATTTATGCAGTCATTGTTAAATTTCTGGCATGAATTCGTATCTAAATTTCTATACCTGAAATGACTGCAAAATTATCAAGAACTTGTGGCCTAAAAAGTTAAAATTGTTAAATTTAACCACGTTTGAAATATTGCGTACTGTACATTAGGTAGTTAAAATATGCGATGGTTAGTCAGTCATTGCTAGTTTTGATAGACTTTGAAGAAGACTAAAGTTATTGACTGTAGGGAAGAACAAGCGGAAACTCCGACGTCAAACTATCTCGACTGCAGCGAAGATGTGTCAGTTTGGAAGAGAACATCGCAGAGATGAAAAGCAAAAACGGAAATTTAAGAACAATTATTTCATGCTTCCATACATGTGTCATGTCATATAATCAGGCGAAGAGTCGCTCAGTGAAAATGACAGACATAATATGCAGTGAACTGTCTGTGCCAGTGTAGGTAGTAACAATAATATAAACAAGCTTTAGTTGGTAGCGATACAACTACCTGAAAAATATAAGGAGAATTACTGATGCCCTTCGTCTGGAGTTACTCAGTAAATGTAACTCAGTAACTCCGGACGAAGGGCCTTCGCTCGAAACGTCGAAATTCTCCTTATATTTTTCAGGTAGTTGCATCCCTACCAACTAAAGCTTGTTTATAGTATGCAGTGAACATTTCATTTTCAAATTGGTACTTGGTGTAGCTTATATTTATAGGATACATCATGCCAAAGCCCCCCTAATTTAATAGAGGCCCTATTATAGGGGGAGGGTCTCGAGTCTCGACACCTTTTTGTTAAAATATTCCATGACGTCATCGATGACGTCATTTCTTATTAGTCAAGGGTTCCAGTCATTCCAGTGTCCCATATTTCTCAACCTTACCCTTCAGTAATCTATACCCCTATGAATTTTCCGTTAAATATAGCCTATTATAGCGGTATCCCAATACTCCGAATTGGGCCTCAATAAAGTTACTGCGGCTTTTAAGCCTTAATTAAAAGGCTTCTTTATACTTGAGGTACAGTAAATCACTAAGTTTACTCAATTAGAGGTAAGTTTTGCTCTGATCACTGCAAATTAAATCTTTCAACGCACGTTCTGATACAAATGACACATATTAACAAAGAAGGCGTAAAATACCAGGCTACAGCTGTAGCTGGACTAATTACTTACAAAAGTATATTATTTTCTGAAACACAAAGTTCTTCAGTAAATCTGGATAATAAACAAGATACAAATAAACAAATACTGATACTTACCAGGTTAATTGTTGTTGCTCTATTTTCATGAGAAAACTTTGAGATGAATTTTTCAAATCTTGGACACGATTTAATAAAGCATCAATTGTTGTCTCTAGTATTTTTTCTTCCTAACAGTAATTTAGAATTAACACTTTAAAGCTTCCTCCAAACATTTTGTTGAAAAAATTCGCGTCCCATACAGGTGTAGTGTATCGAAATCGTTTTCTACCGACACGAATACGTTAAAATATATATATAATTTCGCTTACCTCAAAATTCCGCAACAGTCTGTTTCATCAGTAAAGAATCATCATCATTTCATCAGTAAAGAATCGTCTTGTTACCGCCTGATGATTCTTTACTGATGAAACAGACTGTTGCGGAATTTTGAGGTAAGCGAAATTCTACATTTGCTCTATCTTTATGATATTGAGCACTCTTTGCGTTTCGTATACACAAACCTACTCGTATATATATTTATATATATATATATATATATATATATATATATATATATATATATATATATATATATATATATATATATATATATATATATATATATATATATATATATATATATATATATATATATATATATATATATATATATAGTTATATATATATATATATATATATATATATATATATATATATATATATATATATATATATATATATATATATATATATATATATATATATATATATATATATATATATATATATATATATATATATATATATATATATATATATTTACGGATATTATACGAATCTATACACATACAGTATATCAATTACCTTTTTTCTTTTACTTGGTAAAAAATTGGGCTAGCCCCCCACCCCCGCTCCGCAGTCCCTGTTTTTAAGAAATCAATAGTGTACTGTATGTAGGGATAACAATTCCAGTCAAAACAACTACTTCGCTGTCTATATTGACTATAGGTCGCTTGAAGCTTGGAACTCTAACAAACTCTAGAAAATCAGAACTGGAGTCAAAACGTCCGTAAAGAGTAGACACAATTTCAGCAGTGGTTTTGGTTTTATGAATGTTACAGTTTGATAATCCAATACAATCTAGCATTCAATTTCAAAACCCTTTACAGTCACACTAGAGTGTCAATTGAAATACATTTGAAGCTCTCTCCTCCGCAGAAGCATTTTAATTAGTTTAATTAACATGTCCGCAAAATGAGGGTAATTACAGTAGCTAAAATCGTAAATAAACTAAAACCGTAAACATGGCGATTTCATGTAGAAACCAATGCCTATCTACACATGCATGATACAAAATAATTGCTGGTCTTTACAGTAATTAGCTTAATATTTACTAAAAGGATGAGCACACCAGAAATAACTTTCATTGATTTACATACTTTTTGATTGCTATATTTATTTATATATGTATACCAAGGGTCAAATTAAAGCCGTCAGCCACTTGTTACGTACCACTGTCACTTTTTGCCCACGGCAATCTAATGCCGCCTACTTTGAAGAATATCATGCTTCAATTGTTCAAAGTACCCAGCAACTGGTTGTTTAACACGTCCTTCTCAACTGCATGTTTCCTGGAAACAAGCCGAGGTGGTTGCGCACCCAAAGGAGGGGGACCATGAAGGCGCTTGTATAATAATCATCCTATCTCTCTGCTACCAGTAATGTCTAAGGTTTTGGAAAAACTGGCAAATCAGACCAATTTGTTGACTATCTAATAACCAAAAACATACTCTCTGATCATCAGAGCGGAAACAAGAAATACCATTCAACGGAAACGCTGGGGATTCTCTTCACTAGTCATTTGTTTAAGGCTATTGACGAGAAGAAGGTGACAGCTGTTATGATGTTGGACTTTAGCAAGGCGTTTGATAGCATCGACCATCAGAGATTGCTGGCGAAGTTACGAAACCTGAATGTTTCTGATCTAGCATTAGCCTGGTTTCAAAACTATTTGACTGACAGAACACAACGCGTACGAATTCACAACTCACTTTCAAGTTCCTTATCAATCGAGCATGGGGTACGACAAGGGTCTATCCTGGGGCCCCTGTTGTCTAATCTCTACATAAATTACTTATCGTCAGTCTGCCACACTTGTAATGTTGAATTTTACGTAGATGATTCAAAACTTTACATCTCATTTTCCAACAAGGATGTAAATGGAGGGCTTGACGACCTTAGACAGGATTTGAATCGAGTTGCTTCCTGGTGCTGCGAAAATCGACTCCTTATAAACCCTGATAAGACAGAGTTCTGTGTGTTTGGCTCTAACAGGATGCTAGCGCAAACATTCATCCCGCCTATAATGTTCCTAGGAAAGGAATTGCCGGTTGTTAACTCGGTCAAGGACCTCGGAATGATAATGGACAAACATTTGTCATTTTACGAACACACCGGTGCCCTAGCAAGTGAACTTATGGGCAAACTAGAGAGTAGTAGAATTCGTCATCTTTTCGATAAACCTACACTCTTTATCGTAATAAATTCACTTGTTTTCAAGTTATTCTATAGTTCCTCCGTGTGGTCAGGCACCAGCAAATTAAATATTGCTAAACTTTAACAAGTTCAGAACTTTGCGGCGCGCCTGTTGTCGGGAAAGACGAAATATGAGCATATAACACCTACATTCAGAGGTACGACTGCTTCCAGTATCTGAAGCATTTAAACTTAGAGATGTCATTCTAATGTTTAAATATATGAACAATCAAGTACCTAGTTATCTAGTAAACATGTTCCAGAAGATATCACAGATCCATAGCTATAATACAAGAAACACTAATAATCTTAGTCTTGTCAAGTGTCGCTCTACACTGGCCCAGAATTCTTTTAGCTATAGAGGTGCGGCATTATGGAAACTCATTGCCATCTGAGCTCTGTAATTTGTCTTGCCTGCATGAACACCTTTAAACATAGTTTGAGAAAATATCTTCTCAGTAGTTGGCTTAGTAAACTATACATACATATTCATGTAACTGTATATTTTAAAATTTGTTATATCTTTTACCTTGTAAATTAGGTATGAAAATCCTTACGCGGAACCTAATAAATCTTATTGTATTGAGTGTTAGACAGCTTTGGAAAGTGTACATGTCCATGAAATCTCCTCTCGACTTCTCTCGCTCTGCTCATGCATCAAATTAATATCAGTGCACTCTATTTAATATCAGTGCCACTCATTTTTTGCATAGAACTTTATAGTGAACAGCCTTTATATAAATATTATGTAGTTGTTGTTAATGCTTTGAAAGGATTGAGGTTGTTTTAACAACTTTGTTGAACAATTTCAAGCGGCAAGAGTGCGAACGGGACTCTAAGACCCATGCGAGGCACTCTCCCGTTACAATTATTAGGTATAAAAAGATAGTAACACACAAGTACATATACACGATACTCCATTTTATGTAAACATATACCAACTAGTTAACCCAATAAGTATAACCATGCATCTACATATTAGATAAAAAAAACCCCAAAACTATCACAAAACTGTATTGAAAATGTACCATACAACAATGAATACATTAGTGTATAAGTTAAAAGGTGGGTGAGTCGAAATCTTAAAACGATGCATCATACAATCAAGCAGCTGGTATATGTCTACATATGGAATTAACTACTCCTATGACAAGAACATCTACGATACAATGACTAAGTACAGGTCATGTTAACATTAAAACTTGTAGTTAATAAATGTAAGTAAACCTTGGATAAAAATGTTTTAAACGAGGTCGGACTGTGAAGATCTCTAGGTGTAGCTATCTTACAAACACAATTCCAGAGCGGGACAATTCTGTTGAAGAAGAAAGACTTAAAAGTACTAGTTTTACATGACGGAACTTTGAGCATCAGAGAAGGGTTATTACAATAACGGGTACGACTATGACTGACAAATGACACAAAATTTAAAATATTCAAATCGTAAAAGCCATGCAAAGTTTTAAGGAAAAAGGTCAAATCCTTAGTCTCTCTGTCGTATGCTAAAGGTAAACGACTTAGGGCCAGTAGTCGATCTTTGTAGTCCATTTCACTTTTCTTCAATTGAAGGATCCACCTTGTAGCACGTCGTTGAACTCGCTCTATAGGTTGATTTTACTTGCACGAAAAGATGGCGACCAGACTTCTGTGGCATAGCATAGTTGGGATTTGACGAACGATAAATACAAAGAGCGTCGAATAACACAGTCCGTTAACAAGCGACATGTTCGTCTAAGTAATCCCAGTAATCTATTCGCCTTGACTGCGATGTTCTTGATATGCGTATTCCAGGAAAGATTACTGGTTACTGTGACCCCGAGATCAACTTCACGAGCTACACGCTTCAGATCAGCTGCGCCCAGGTGGTAATCTGTCACACATGGAGTTTTACGACGAGAGATTGTCAGAATCTTACATTTCGAGGGGTTAAAATTGATGTTACACTCCCTACTCCAATCCTCCGCACACGACAAGTCTTCTTGCAACAGAACACAGTCCTCGCGAGGTGTAATTGCTTTATACACCTTCGTGTCGTCAGCATACAATCCTGTTGATGTGGATTCAGGTATTACATCTGGAAGGTCGTTTATGAAAAGCAAGAAAAGCTTGGGACCCAAGATACTTCACTGTGGAACACCAGAAGTGACGTGAGACCATTCTGAAGCAGCTCCCTCAACAACGACACGCTGAGTACGATCATGTAGGTTTCTTCAGAAGAATATCATGATCTACTGAATCAAATGCTTTGGCAAAGTCGAGAAAAAGTACGTCCGTTTGGATATTGTTGTCAAGTAATTGTCCAATTAGCCATTTCCCAATCGAGCAGAGGACTGGGTCTAGTTGATGTCCGGAGGGACAACAAGTTATAGTGAGTGAGCTAAATATATATTAAAAGATGCCTTATTATAATTGTTGCATTTCAGGCTGCACAAATAACTTTAAGCATGTAGGAAAACTTCCTAGATGCCATATTCGGCATATTGTTTATTTTTTGTCCCTCCAAACAAGCGACTAGACCCAGTCCTCTGCTAGATTGGGAAATGGCTAATATGATGTAAGGTAGAGATAAGTTGTGTCACACATGAGCGCCCTTTAAGGAAACCATGTTGTGCTGTACTGATCATATCTCGGACGTGTTCATAAAAACGGTTGCAAACACACCGCTCCAAGACTTTGCTGATGATAGGAAGCAGTGATATTGGTCGGTAATTTGTGGCAGGTTCTTTGTTATCTTTTTTATTTAAAGGCGAGACATTGGCCGATTTCCATTAGGAAGGTACTGCTCCAGAATTTAAAGAATGATTGAAAAGTTAAGCAAAGACTTGGAGCGATGACAGAAATGCATTCCTGTAAAATTCGACCTGGAATTCCGTCAGGACCTGGAATTCCGTCAGGACCGGTAGCTTTCGTTGGATCCAAGTGAGACAGATGGTGGGCAACATCCACTTCTGAGATGACAATATCGGACAATTGGGCAGCAGGAGAAAGCAAGGGGGGTGGATGGTTCAGGAATAGATGTTGTTTTAACAGGTCGGAAAACAGAACAGAAATAGGAATTAAAAAGCTCTGTTTTTTCTTGTGAAGTCTTCGCTATTTGATTGCTGTGCGATATAACAGGATTTAATGCGGAACGGTGGTGAAGTATCGCCTTATGGTAATTCCAGAACAATTTGGGGTTTTGTGTAAACGATGCTTTGATCTTAGCTAAATACAATTTATGTTTATTTCTGATTGCATATTTGATTGTTGACACAAAGTACGTAGTTTGTACGTAGTTGAGGTTTAAGCTTGAGGTTCTTAAATCGAAAAATATTTTCAGTACGTATACCTACAATCATAGACAAATTTACTCTGACAAACATGGCAAATAAATTATTTTTTGAAACATTTTCATATATACTTCATAAGTTGGTCCCCCCTCCCCTGAAACAATGTTGATGAACACTTCAGTGATTGTGACAACTATTGCGGTATCTGTACCAACAACATTGTAATGGGGGAGCGGGGAATACGGCTGAATATGCGTATAAATATTTGATTGCCTTAGACTTCAGCCATTTTTAATCAGCGTCCGCATGTTATTTGTCTAGGATTGTAGCTCCTCAGTGGTAGGGCCCTATGGGCCCTGTGCCACCTGCAGTGGTGGATTTATATGGGCAGACCTCTCAACTCTCACGCATTCGGCGTGAGTCTCACGCAATTCGCTTCACTCTCACGCTCTCACGCCACGTTTAGTAAATCTCACGCATATGGCAGTTTCATAGTATTTTTTTCAATAATATAATATTATATTCTTAAATGCACATTATTAATCATTTAATATACGGATCGCAAATCGAATATATAATCACGTGTTATTGTTCCCTCGTGTTCCTGCATATTTGCCCGCAATTTGGATACAAAATAGTATGCATATGTAAATACGGCGGACAAAAGGCAGAATCAGTCGGAGCAGAATTCTATATGCAGGGCCGTAGCAACCGGGGGGCTGGAAATCATTCTTTTTTCAAAATCATGCAGACCTTTATCAATTTTAAGCTTTATTAGTTTTAAGCGGCTACATTATCCATGACAAACTGCAAAGAATGAAGATATTACCCACACTTTCCTGCAACTTATCCAATATATAGTTAATTAAATACACCTTCGCCCATTCAGTACTATGAAATTGTAAATTTCGACATACTAAAACGCTGTTTTCTGACTATCAGAATTCTGTCAAATCTTCCCCAAAGTCCAGGAAATGGCACTTCAGAGACTCTAAATTTAAAAATTTCCTCGGGCCTTCGGCCCTCGCTTTCAGCCCCCCCCCCCAATAAAAAAGCTTCCTACAGCCCTGATATGTAAATTATCACGGGCAAATTAAAGCTCATTACTGTATGTCGTAGAAATACAGTTATTGTAACTAAAGTGCCTTGTCTTAAAGGACGTTATTCATTATGTATTTTACTCTCATGTACGAAATGCCATTTCAGACCCCGGACTTTTACAAAGGTGCCATCCACATCCCCAATCTCACTCTTAACTTCTCTGCAAAGTTGAGAGGTCTGTATGGGGTGCACAGGGGTGTGTACCAACGTATAGATCTGTAAATTGTCAGCACGAAACTACTAGGTGCAGTTTCATAAAAGTGGGTTTGGTGTGCTTGGCTCAGTTGGCTGCTCGCCTATAGCACTCCCCTAAAGAAACCTTGCTGGATCAGCCACAAGTAATTAATTCAAACACCTGGGGCCTGTTGTATAAAACTCTTAATCACTTTTTAATCACTATTTTGTAGTTAAATAGTGATTAACTCTCAAATACGCGCTTCTTATTGGATGACGTTTCCACTAACTATAGTTAACTTTAATCACTTTTTTATACAACCGGCCCCTGCTGTTCGAAATTCTTTTGGAACCCTGACCACCATTTTGAATACTTAATCAACAATTACGATCATGGCATTCTGAACACACATTGAACAATTTTCAGAATTTAAAACATGCTTGAGCGCATGTTAGGGATTCCCTATATATTATATATTAGACTAAGTGTATGTTCCCACCAACACAACTAAACCTCAATATGATGTACATGTCTTCAGTTGATAACCCATCTCTACTAGTATATAGCATTCGATCATTTGGCACATTGCCCTGTAATTTCTGCATGGCTGAACCGGAATCAGAACACTTTGAAAACAATGATGAAAATCAATGAACTTTGAGATTCACTCACACTAATAACATGTAAGCAGTATAGATTCCTGCTGATTAATATACTCTCCTTGCAACTTTATACTTCAGAATCACATTTTAAAGAGGCTTGACTTTCATATGTCCACACAAAGGGCTCGCTCTTATTTTCCCCTAACTTTTTTTCTAGAATTCAACATGTTTCTTACAAGTTTGTATTATGCTCACACCAATTAGGATTAGACTGGTAGTTAGCCAGCCTCGTCCCCAGGCACTTTTAATTGATATACGCTGTTGTGAAGAACGCAGGGACACAGGTGGGGGTTCAAGCCCCATGAAGTTGTGTGAGTTAGAGCCTGGGGACAAGGCTGGTAGTTAGCGAATTGCTGGGTTTGGTAGTTAGCAAAGTGCTGGGTTTTGCTCGAAACTAGAAATAGATCACAGTAAAAATAACACTAAAAACTATGTGATATAGTCCATTACAGCCAATGGCACATGTACGATATGTGATTCTAGCGTATTCGTATTGTTTTGGCGAATATGTCTTCATGGACGAAAATGCAATGAATCCGGATACTTGTGAATGCATAAAGTTTTGTATCTGCAACAAAATGTTTGCAGATACAAACGAATCCGGATACTAGTGCCCCAGCATGCATGAGTGAGTCTAGATATCGACTGTCAAGGCAACATGCAAAAACAAATTTTTATAATAAAATCGAAATTATTTAATCTATGTATAATACCTGCATTGTTACTTTAGTACTTGTTGCTATATTTGCCAATAAAATAATTTTTTCTTTCATATAAATATTATATTATACTTTTATAAAAGTATAAATTCAAAATTCTAAATTTTAATTTGGTCAGCAGAAATTGGTCTGAGGCATGCGCACTAGATATGACTTTCCAATATGGCGGTCGCAAGCAAAAAAGACGATCAACTATTATTTGGGTTGGTTTGTTTATATTTGCTGTATACATTATGATTACACTGTATTCTGCGTACAGCTTACTTGAGAATACAAGTGGAAAACAGAAAAGACAAGAGCGAGGTGTTTTAGCGAAATCTACTTTATCTACGGAAATATTTGAAGTGGAAGTATGGGGAAAGGCGGCTATCGGATTATATTTTTGGGAGCATATTATGGAAGGAAATTTAAAGAGTAAAGAAACAGATCTGGTTAGATTGGGTGAAAAAATTATTGATAATGTTAAATTTAGTTTCAGAACTGGACCTGGAATTATTCCTCAGACTGTACCAAAAAATTCTCAAAATGTAATTCTAATATTAAATGGTAGGGTTCGAGAAAAAATTAAATTTGCTGAAATGTGGTTAAAATCTCTTCAAATGTTACCCAATATAAAGAATGTTGCTGTGATACTATTGGGCAATGAACAATGTAACAATAATTGGTTGTTACCATATATGGTAAAACAAGGTGGATTAGTTAACATTGCATATATTGTATATGACATTCCAAATCAAGGCAATACAATATTCCAGTGGCCTTTAGGGGTAGCTACATACAGAAATTTCCCAAAAGTTATTCTCAGTGAAAGTGACATTTCGCACCATCGACAATACATGTGTAATTTTCTTGGTACAGTATACCCTAACTCCTCACGAGAAACTCTGCAAAAGATATTTTATGAACATAAACTCTATACCATTTGTTATTTAAGACTTCGGGAAACATGGCAACCAACTGAAAGCAAAGAAACTGCCAATGAATATTATCATGCTTTATTACATAGTGATTTAACGTTGAGTCCAGTCGGTGTAAACACAGAATGTTACCGTTTATATGAGGCATGTTCTTATGGTTCTGTACCAGTAGTTGAGGATATCCAGACACCAGGAAACTGTTTAAATACACCTTTAAAGCTTCTAAAATACTATAATGCACCATTTATTTATCTCAAATCATGGGCTGAGCTACCAGAGATTTTAGAGAAAGAAAAACAGTTGACATTGGAACAAAAAATTCAAAGGCGAGAAAATTTATTGCGATGGTATTGGAAATTCAAGAGGAAACTTCAACAATCATTTGTTGTTCAAATAAAGAGGAGTTTTTTTAGTTACTTAGAATAGCAGCATAAATGTTATTACCAAACTGTTGATAATCCTCTTGCAGGAAAAACATGTCATGCGACTACATGCACTCTTACTGTTAAAATGTTAAAGTGTGTATGAAACTAATTTTGCCCCTATATCACACTTTGTATTTTGAATTATGACATCACTAGTTGTTCTTGAGATTGCAGCAGAAAGCTTGAGTTCCTTAGACTTGGCGATAAAACCGTTTTTGGCCGCCATCTTTACGCTTGAAATCCCTACGGCTACGGTTAAGTCTATAGATCTATTTTACAGTTTTTCTAAAACACTTCATGACTAAAACGAGGAAGCTAACACCAGTCCAAGAATCGAAAGGGAAAGAAGATTGGCTGCAGGCTATCCGCATTCCGATCACTCTTTGTCGCTTTTCAGTCGCGTGTATAGGTCTCGCATATCGTGTGAATGAATTGCGATATACGATTCTTTGGTTTTACAATATACGCGAAACCGCAAAACCAGTTTAAAAAAAGAAGATATTTATCGATTTGAATATGGAAAGTTTGTTGTAAACGAATTTTTCGTCGTACTCTGCAGTGTAAGAATAATATGAAACTAGTTGTAAATGCATAATTTAGCATTTCGTAGCTTTGGATAATCTAACTCATACATTTGCGCGATAATTTCATTCCCATATATATGGTTAAAGTAAGAAACATCGGTTACTAGAAATGCGTGTCTCCAGGATGTCCAGGCGGCCGTCCGACCGTCCTATGGACGGCCACTCCTGAATTTGGACGGCTAAATTTTAATGGACGGCCTATGGGAATATTTTCTTTAAATAGCAATTTACAAGCTTTGTAATATCTCTTGAATACTTCGAATTGTTATCATCTGCTGTTTACTTTACTTATGGTCTATGTTTTCATACTTCTCCCCCTCGAAAACACATTGAATATGCCTGAATTGAAGTACCGACAAACGTGCCATGTTTTTGTAACCATGATGATTCTCGCATGAAGTATCAAGGAGAATAATTTGAAGCCGCCGTTTTAAAAAACAGCAATCGCTTTATCGCTCGAGCACCACACTGCTTTAAAGTTACAGTTACGGTAAAGATGGCTATAAAATGAGCCAAACGCATCAAAAAAAGGGAAAAAATATTGGCGATTGATAAAAAAATAACTAAACACTACACTGCTGTATTGTGTTCTTCATTATAGCATATACTGTAGCCAGTACATCGTAGTGATCATACGGTTCATACCATATGTGTGCTTTTACTAATTTAATAACTGAAATGTGCATCTAAAAGTAAAAAGGTTCAACTTATAGAACACCACAATTCCACAACAAAAAATTGCGGCCACGCCCAAAAACATGTGACCACGCCAACAAAATTATTTTGGACGGCTACTTTTGAAATCCTGGCTAACACCCTGCGTGTAACTATAAATTCTCACAAAGGCATGCCACGAATGCCTTACCAGGTGAGCGTCATTCAACGGAAGCTGGCCCAAAACTAGTCGCCCCCCGCGTAGATATATCTACTGCGTTCGACCAGTGCGTTCAAAAGGTTGATATTTATTTGTTTCGTACTTTTTCGTTATCCACAAGGCATCAATACACAGACTATGTAGCGCGAAGTCAGATGGCTTCATGAAAGCATGACGTTTGTAAGTTACGATCGTATTACAGCTTTTCGACGCTGTTGACTGTGGCAGCATGCAGTTTGAGTCTCAGTCATAGGCAAACGAAAATTATGCAGTTTGGTCATAAGCATGTTCATGGGCATATTAAAGGACGTTGGTACATAATATATTGGCGTGCTTATGAGAATACCAATATGCGGTATCTCATAAGCACACGAAAAGGACACAAATATCTTTGTCTTTGAACAACCGGCCCCTGGAGCAATCCTGATAAAACGCGGCCACTCCGGCCGTGCCCGGATTCCAAAACCTTGAAAAGTATCTGAAAACTTTTGCATTTTTGGAGGACCAAACTGAGCGTCAATTTGCTCAAATATGCCTGGTAGGACTTCCCAGTCATCAAAATCGTTTAACATAACATAATCGACTTGTTCGTTTAATGTTCGGGGTATCCAATGCAAATCTGAATATTTGCTCGAAAACACGTAGAAAAGATACTAATTGCTAATTTGTAATATTCTAATTTCATACTCCCGACCTGAGCAATTTTCATTGCTACTTGACTGTCAGTGAATAATTTTGCTTTAGAACTCGTTAGCAGTGGTTCAAAAGGCTGTATAACCAATTGCATTTAATGCCAGTAGTTCACTATATGTTGAACTTGTCTCTTGTTCAGATTGTGAGCATTCCGTGTGCCACACGACTTGTCCCTAAAATAATAGCCCCGCACGATGTGGCAATGCCAATGGCGTCTGAACAAATCGTTCTGACAACTTCTGTTACTGGAATATGATTCTTTATTAATAAATGATCGAGCATTACTAATTTTAACTTTGTTATCCCAAACTGTAGTTCTTGGAGACAGTAGTCGTCAATTAGAAATGTTGTGTCCCAATGTCTGGACAATATACGTGCCAAATTCCTGTAACTGGGCCAGTGGAAATTATCTGTCCCACTACTCTCGCTAATTGCCTGGCTGTGATTCGATGCTGATTGAGAATAGTAGTTATTTCTCTAGGCGATGTGATGCAAAGGCTATCATGCCATTTACGCCAAGCCAAGTTATATTCTGAGTTGGTACCCATATTTATTTATCGTCATTGGCAACTAGGCCTGACATGCAAAGATCTGATTTGATAATTGTGGCACATCGTGGGAGATTTCAGGTGAATTTTCCATATCTGTTATCTTCTACTTCTAGGAATATTGTAGTGCTAACACCCAAACCACGCCAGTGACGAATTAGGGGACGAAGCAGTTTCGTAAAAATATAGGGAACATACATACAATTATTAAAATCCAAATGATGGTACATTAGCGTTTGACGTCATTTATACGAGTTATTATAAGTTATAGGTATCAGATTTAAACTTTTCCATGCGTGCACGTACATGCACTCTGTATTAGAGAGGTTTAGCAAAGACGATGCGACGTCAAAGACGACGTGGGCACATCCATAGATGGGCATATCACGCCATTTTCACGTCGTCTTGGACGTCGCGTCGTCTTTGCTAAACCTCTCCATTAACTGGAAAGCAACCTTAAAAAAGATAAAAAGCAAACTGATAATTGTTACGTTTTAGAGCTTGATCACTTTGTAGAATGTAATAATCCTTCATCAGCTCTACTCCTTTCTCGTAAGCAAGTTGTTTTTGGAAAGCGTTGGAAATCGGTGGCAAACACTATGGGAGGCAGGCTTCGAGTCCAGTCAGTGATTCCTAGGTGACCACGCCCCAGAAACGCCTTGCTGATCAAGAGAACAACTTAGCTGTATGTAACAAAAAAGCATGTGCTTCCAAGCCATGAAAAATAGAGAACCGTCCAATTATAAAAATGTTCATTGACCTGGAGTTGAAGTTGATTGGAAGTTGTTCAAAGACTGAAATTTTCTCACCAAAAGATTGGGAATACTGTAGGTTTGAATTTTGCACTACTAATATCTTGTTAAGTGTTTGCCACCGTTTGAATGGATGTGAAGAATATTTAAGATAAAACATTTTACAATAGAAAAAATATGAACAGCTGTTGTGTAATGTTATGATCATTCATCATCATTATCGTCTTTATCTTTCTCAGGATCATCTTCCTTAGCTTCAGTGACATCTTCATATCCATTTTCTTCATCATCTTCATCTTGATCTTTTTTATTCTGTTCCTCATTATCATCTTCATCATCATTCTTTTCTGAACTTCTACAAGAAACATCATCAGTTATCAATAACCCATTGTGTATTTATGTGTGGCAGCATTCCCTCTTGACAAGTAACATCATCTGGTGTTAGACAGAGTAAAATAATACAGTAAGCACATTGCCAGTTTTTAGGAATAAAAGGAAGGCTTAGGAAGCATGGGCAGATAGTCTGATTAACCCATTGAGTGGCAGTAGCACCCTCCTTGTGATGAGTAAAATCGTCTGGCATTAGACAGAGTGAAATAATACAGTAGGACACGTCAGGGCACATTGCCATTTGAAGGGTTAAACAAAAATTAGTATGTTAAATTATATATAAACAAGCTTTCATTGGCAGAGATGCAACAATCTGAAAAATATAAGGGTAGTTGTATCCCTAGCAGGTAGTTGCATACTTTCAGGTATATTGCATCCCTACCAACAAAAGCTTGTTGATATTATTGGCACTACCTACACTGGCACAGACACTTTAAAATTATATTACTTAGCAAAAAACATATGTCCATGATTTGCACATCAAATATTTCTATTTGCATTGACTTGCTGCTTTGAAACAAAATTAAAATTTTGTTTTTAATACAAGAACAGTTGATGTCTAGCAAAGACCATGGTACAGAAGCTCTCAAACCTATTACTGATTTTATCATGCACTCATGTTCATGTTTCATACCTTCTTTTGTTTTCTTTTTCTTCATCTTCTGAACCACTTTTCTCTTTGTTAGATCTTGATTGTGACCTAAATTGTTTAGACAAATAACAACTTCTGAATTTACAATAATTACGAAAAAAGTATTATGTTATAGACTGAACCAGATGTTATAAATGTGCACTTTTTATGCTATGTATATATATATATATATATATAACAAAATGTAACTAATACAACTAATATAAAAAAATATAAACTTGTCTTATAAAGCCAGGTTTAAACTTCTTTGACAAGAGAAGTTGACCTGGACACATCAGGTTTTGACAACACATGTATGATTGCCATTCTATAACATCATCAATAATGATAATCATTCTTACCTTGATTCTCTATCCTTACGATCTCCTGATCTGGACCTAGACTCAGATTTAGATCTGGATCGCCGTCTTCTTCTTCTACAAAATAATACAAACATATATGACTGATTTTAATCATAAATGTAGCGCTCTTTCTTGAAGTCAATCTTGGGATCCAGTGACTGTGTATGGTTCGAGTCTGAAGTAATTGAAAAAGTCAAATGGAGGCCTGTTGGTATGATTGCATGGTCAGTGCAAGACCACTAATTGATCACAGATCTATTGTAGTATATGATCCCCATAAATTAACACTGTACAAAACTGTCCTGTTTTTTGACCTGGGATAGCCCAACTTATCAATTAAAGCTGGCATGGATAAATAGAACAGGATTAAAGAATGAGGCAGTTCTATTCAGAACTAACTTATGGGGGCCATATGCTATAATTGATCTGAGTTCACTATAGTCAGGTCACAAACCTTCAAACAAAGTTGTTGAAACATTGAAGTGGTTTTAATCTCCAGATTACTCAAATGTACTGTATGTTACCTTGGAGAATGACTTTTGCTCCTGGATCGATCCCTCCTTGGTGAACGAGACCTTGACCTAAACATAAAAATATCAATGAGGTTTATGTTATAATAGTTGAGTTAATAACAGCTACACATTCAGCAAGGAAAATTGAAACCTTATTCTCTACAATCCAAATCCAATCAAAATTAACCCGTTGAGCCACAATGCGCCTCAGTGCACCCTACTTATTTTTTTACTTGTCTAACGCCAGACGATTTTACTCATCAATGGGGAAGCTCTGCGGCT